GTCCCTTGAACTTTCCCCCTATTGTCTTTTAATCAGCTCAAAGAGAGAATTCTGTTCTGGTGGCACATACCAGAGTTCTGCAAAACATTCCTTGAAAATTCCATTTTCTTTTTAAGCTTTTATTGTATATTAAGTGAGTGAAGGTTTACAGGGACAGACCATCAGTTTTATATTCAGAAAATCATTGTAATGATTACAATCTCCTCCATGAACCCTCAGCCAACAGTATTTACCTCTATTACCTTTTTTCTTTTTTTGATGTACACATACCACATTGAAAATATATATTCATGTAAATGTCCAAAGGACACATTTTGTATGCCAGCTTCCTGTCCCCAGGCTCACTGCCTTTCTCAGTCTATGGGTCTGAGTCCTTTGCTGCTCTCTCTACGCCATCACCTTTTCCACCATCTCTGTTGCCGCTGCTTTTGTGGTTAGGATCCCTCGTTCCTCTCATGCTCTTCCCTCTTGATGGTCCTAGGGTCCTCTGTTCCAGAAATGACAGAATAACTGCTTTTTAATCTCCCCTTTTAGTTACACCTCTTCTTTTTACAGTTGTGACAATTGCCATTCGCCTTATTACAACTGAATCATAGAATCCTATCCCCCTCATCATCAGACCCAGCTGGACAAGAAGAAAACTAACTATTCAGTAGGGTTTCTGTCACTAAGCTAATATAAATTGTTACAACCTGATCAACTGGACCTTTGCTGATAGATGAAACTGCCCCAAATTCCAACCAAATAGGGAAGGATTCTTCATCTCAAGGATCAAGCATGTCTCCTCAGTACACTGGGTTGATAGGACGGATAACTTTGACTATCAAAATTGGGGGCTGTAAAGGCACAAAGTGGCTGGCTTACAAGCTCTCATGAGGGTGTTTGTTGCTTGTTGTTAAATGCAGTTGAGTCGATTCTGACCCATAGCAACCCTGTATAGGATCTCGAAGGAGCAGCTGGTGAGCTTGAATCACTGACCTGGCAGTTCAAACGACTTTGCAGTCTGACGCATTAGTCCACAGCGTCACACCAGGACTCCATGATCTGGGTGCTCCCTAGGGTCATGAGGGTGCTTAGTGTTAGAAAATTCCATTATCTTTTCATTCCATTTTCCCACAAAGTTTTCAAAGCCCCCTGCATATCTGACTCACCTGGGGAGCCTTTAAAAAATACCAGTACCAAGACCATACCCTGAGATGCTGGATCTGCTTTGTGTACATTCCTTCCCATAGAGAAGGAACTTTCAAAAGACAAAAGAGCAAGTGAAGAAAAGTTGGGAAGGAAAGAGGACATTTTGGGGGGTGGGGTGGTAGAACCTTTACATAGCAAAACATTTGATGAATGAGCGGATTACTGTGTTGAACAAAGCAGACTTCATGAACTCACAATATCTTTTATCCCTGAGTTTGTGAGCCACAGATGTTTACAGAACTGCTTGTATCTTTGGAGTGCTGTGCAAGACAGAGGGAGTGTTAAAAGCATGTTGTATGTGCATTCAGGAGAACTGGTATTAGACACAGTACTACCGTGTGTTTGTGTGTTGTGTGTGTGTGTGTGTGTGTGATCACCGTCTGTTTCTTTATCTGTAAAGTATATGTATATGCCCTAATACATCAAGAAAGTGCTTTAGAAGTCTTACAGTTCTGTGACACTAGCTGATCTGACCCATTGTGCTATTGCTACAGAGGAAGAGAAGACATTGTACCTGGCTAAAAGGTATTTTCACACTACCCTGAGAATCAGAAGTAACATATGTGAATCCGTGAGATTACAAAACCTAGCTGAAAAGTGAACTCTGTGGCACAGCCTCCCCTCCCAGTGTGATGAAAATTCACGCCTGATAAATTCCTTGTCACAGAATCCCACGTTTTGAAAGAGTGGCTGAGACCCAGTTGAGGTGATGATGCCAAGCCTTAACTGACAAACTGACATCTGTCCTGTTTGAAGGATAAAAAGGTTACAAAATTTTGGGGAGTCCTCGTGTGGCACTTTGGGTTAATGTGCTGGACTGCAGTGTTGATTGAACCGCAAGGTTTGTGGTTCAAGCTCACCAGCTGCTCTTCGGAAACCCTATACAGGGTTGCTATGAGTCGGAACCAACTGGATGGAACCAACTGGTCGGCACTTAACAACAGGGAACTTCAAAGATTATGCAGTCATCAGAAAATGCCACAGTGTAAATAAAATAATCTGCTCTTAATCTTTTAGGGTTTTTTAAAAGCCATCATAGTTAAGATTTGGCCGTAATTTAGAGAGAGAGTGTGTGTGTGTTAACTTGAAGGTGGCTGGGATAACTTGAGTCAGAGTTTGAATTCCTTTTAGCCTGAGAGAAAAATAGAGGAGCTTATTGTTTCTTGGGCATGGTAGAGCTGTGCTATTTGATGTAATTCCTGGTTGTTTTGGGAAGTTTGACTCTGGCCTCTATCTGCCTGGTTGGATTTGCTTCAGGGTCTGATGGGAACCAAGCCAAGATGGAAGTACCCTGGTCATGCTTTAAGTAGTTTATGCTGGGGTTGGTAGTGGATCTCAGGAAATGATAGTTGTGAAGTGGGGAAATCTCAGTGGGGCATCTTCTGTGGGTGGGCGTGTGGCTTCAGAGCTGCTCAACTACCTGCCTCTCTGAGCCCTGGTGTGTGGACCGGTTGATACCTCTCTCAGGTGAGATTCAGAACTCCCAGAGAGCTGCAGTACGCTACCTTTAAGATGGCTACCCCGTCTGGGACTTCCTCCCCCACCTATTTTCCTTTCTCAAAACCCTGCCAGAACTGGAAAGTTTCTACCCATCCAAGTCCTGGGCACCTGCTTACTGCAGCCCCTGAGGTTTTGCTTGCTCTCAGCTGCTTTGGGGGACCCCAAGTCCTTTGGGTACTATGGCCTGAGGTTCAAATAGGACATAGACCTGTGGTTTGATTCTCCTTGTGTCTCTGACACTTGCTGCTGCTGCTGCTGTTAGCTGACATTGAGTTGGCTCAGCCCGATTTAAGGCAGTCTCATGCACAACAGAATGAAACTCTGTCAGGCCATACATCATCCCCATAACTGGTTGGGAGTCATTAGTCATTAGGGTTTCCATTTCCTTGACTGCTTTTTGGAAGTAAATTTCCAGGCCTTTGTTCCTAGTCTATCTTAGTCTGGAAACACCATCAAAATCTGTTCAGTAGCCTAGCAATGTGGAAGCCACACATGAAGTACATTGGGTGGGAATTGATCCTGGCTTTCACACTTGGAAGCTGAAAATTCGACAGCTGAATCCTGTGGCACTTAGGGAGAGCAAATGAGGAAAAACCTGACTTTGGCTTTGCTTTTCGGTTTAAAAACATGTGCCCCCAAATTAAGAATACAAATCACAACTCTCACTTCTTAGTTTAGAACTCTTAACTTAGGTGAGGTGTTTAAGCAGGGAGATACCAGAGTTTGAAAGCCCAGACTAGAGTCTTGGGAGTAAAGTCTGCTAGAGTTCATGACAAGACTCCCTGAGGTCACAGTGAGGAAATGGTTTTGTCTTTGATTACTTATGAACCTCAAAGACTATTATAAAAAGACTCAAAACAAAATCCCTTCAAACCTTTGGTCCTAAATAGCTGACTCCTTTTGATCTGATTCACCAACTGGTTGAAAGTGTGTGTGTCATCATAGTGTATTTATACCCACTGCCATAAGTTAATTCTGTCTCATAGCGACCCTATTCAGGATTTCTGAGACTGTAAATCTTTATGGGAGCACACAGCCTCATCTTTCTCTTGTGGAGTGGTTGGTGGGTTTGAACTGCTGACCTTGCAGTGAGCAGTTCAACACTAACCCACCACAGGCAGCTGAACTAAGTACTCCCATTTAACAGACTTGAAGGTAAAAGTCTGGACTGCTGAAAACCAAACAAAGTACAAAAAGGGATCTCTGGACAGGGAAGCTGGCAGTGTTCCAAGCCAGTGTCAGGTCAGCGGCAGTGTGGTATGAGTGACTCAGTGGTTTGTGGTTTCAAGGGGATAATGTGTGACTCCAGTTCTTCACATTAGAGGTGGCTGTAGGAACTAGGCAGAAGGAGCTCTGGTAGTGTAGTGGTTATGAATTGGGCTGCTAACATCAGGGTCATCAGTTCAAAACTACCAGCTGTTCCATGGGAGAAAGATGAGGTTTTCTGCTCCCATAAAGATTTACCGCCTTGGAAACCATGTACAGGGTCGCTATGAGTTGGAACCAACTCCATGGCACATAACAACAACAACATAGGAACTAGGCATAGTGAGGATTGCATCTTTGCTTCAGTATGTTTCTCCTGCTCTTTGCGGAAGATGGTTTGAAAAAGGGTTTTCATCCCTTTTTCTTCCGTGCAGGTTTTTTTTCTTTGAGGTCAAATTTTCCTTCTGTACTATATTTTCCATGCTGGTACTTTACCTGCATTGTTTACATAGAGGTTTTCCATTCTGTACCATTGAAGGAATAAAATTAAGTCAGTATCTCTGGATCACCTTAAACAGTTGTTAGAAAGTTTAAATCTAAGGATCAAATTCTCTCTTTGACTTTATAATTGCATTTTTACTATCATAGATTTTCTTCTGTGCTGCTTTTTATGCATTTAATCATTGTGTTACTTCACCTCCAATAAACTGTTGTTAGTTTGGAAAGACTATTTAAAGGCTCGGAGGAATTTTACAAGATATGAATTCTTCTGTGAACAATTTGTCTTTATTAAAAAGAGGATAGGTTATCTCGAAATTACATAGATTTACTGTTAACTCTGAGATACTTTTAAACAGCTTTTTCATTATTTTTTTAATCATTTTTTTTCCCTTTTCCTGTAGAATGATTTAGATGTTTATTTCCGTGATAAGCAACATTCTTCTAACGTACCAGGATATAGTGTATAGACATTTTGATACAAATCTGTGTGAACAGGAAAACTCTCTCCATTGATTATGGAGAAGGGTGGTGTGTATGCTGTACCTCTCAACAGCCCTCTTTCTGCCTGGTATCCTTCAAAGTATTTTGTTCTCTCATTTCAGCCACGATTACAAGTTCATCGGAAAATGATGACCGGAGTGGCTCCAGTTTGGAATGGAATAAAGATGGAAGTCTGAGGTTGGGGGTTCAGAAAGGAGTGCTTCATGATCGCAGGGCAGATAATTGCTCCCCAGTGGCAGAAGAGGAGACCACTGGGTCAGTGGAGAGCTTACTGCCCAAAGCTGAAGCCTCAGCTGGAGATGGTCCAGTCCCTTATTCTCAGAGCTCCAGCTCGCTAATAATGCCACGACCCAACTCAGTTGCAGGTAAGGCCTTGCCTCTCCCTAGAAGAATTATCTCACTTGGTCTTAAGGTGTTCCTGTGTTCACTATCTCCCCGTGGTAAGTTGTCAGCTGGAATCTCATCTAGGTGGAACTCAGCCACTTCCATCTATACACATGTAAGGCTGCACTCAGTGGTCTTCCACTGACTCCTCTTTGCTGGAATTCCATAGTCTGTGACTTGGACTAAATGGTTCATTGCATGTGAAAGAAAGAAGTAGAGAAGCTCTCCCTTTGGTTTTTGGTATTTTAAGTGTGAGTTAATTTATGACTTCTTATTCCATCTCAGTAAATGGGGATTGTTAATATTAGCTCTAAGAGTTTCTAACCCAACCTCCAAAATTATTTTCGTATGATGAAGTCCCATCCCACAGAAGTGAAGTTGAGTTTCAGTGCAGTTGTAATGGAGCTCACAGCTGGCAGCGAGGGCACACAGATGAAGAAATGAGCACGGCCAAGACAGACAAGCTTAGCAAGTTGCAGCTGCTGGGACTGAGAGGGAAGTCTGTGACTGCTGACTGTTGAGAGGTGGTGTAGTGGGTAATCCTCACACAAGGGGAGTAGTTTGGGTGGGGACTCTCTGCCACTGAGCTTGCACATCTGGTATAAGGTTGTGAGTTTCCTAACTGCATGCACTTAGGTTCAGTTTCGAAAGGGAACTAGTTGTGGTCATTCTTTGTTACCAGTGAAGTGCTTACATCTTCTCCTTTACAAAGAAGAAGAGGGACCCAGATTGTTTTTTCTTACATCAAAGGAGTTTTTCTGTGATTTGCTCTGTTCCTTCAGGATGTGTAGGTCACTCTGGTGGTGGTTGGGTGTTTTGTTTTTGGTTTTGTTTTTTTACAGTGTAACTCTGAAGCAGCTGATAAGTAAATAGCCCTAATGGGAAAGTTCTGAGACACAACTCTTAATTCACTTTCAAAGGAAGTAGATGGCCTTGTTCCAGAAGAGGAATTTTGAATGTCTGCCAGAGAGAAGTACTGGAGAACATTATGAATATTGAGTGATGATTCTGCCATAAAGTTCTGTGTTCTCCCACCAGCATCTGCCCTTTGATATAGCATGCTGTACAAATGGCTCTTTTTTCATTCCTATTTACCTAGCTATGACGAGTATATTATCCCAGAACTGGACAGCTTTTATATTGACTTCAACAAATGGCAAACTTGATTCAACATAATCAAACTACTTTAAAATTAGGAAGCACATTAATACATTACTTTCTAGAGTGTTAAAAGCACTCCATTCAGGGTTATGTATTCGGCCTGATGGCCTTTTATGTGGTCTCCCGCCATGTGGAGTGACAGTGGGTGTGAGCTGAGATTTTCCAGGAGCTGGTGGTGATTACAGAGCAGGCCTTTCTGATTTCCGCTGTGCTCATTCATTAGACTCTACTCAGGCTCTTGAGCTTGACCTCCTGGGGAATGGGAGGGTTTTACCTCTGGGCCTGAGCAGGCACTGCCTGGCCTAATGAGTTTGCTCATTTCTTCTGTGTTGCATATTTTTTAAACAAAAAGCATAATTTTGGAAGGAAATAGGGAGGCAGGTGTCTGACTTTTATAGTGTCTGTTAACAAGCTGGGAACTCGGCAGCCCCTTCATTGCTGACCCTCCTATACCACAAAGTTGAGCCTCACCTAAAAGGGAATGGCAAGATTGTTATGGTATCATTAAAAAAAAATACTAGTTGGGTCGTATCGATTACATACCACAGAAGTGTTTGTCTAGTGATTAGAAGGCATGTTTTCACAAACAGGGCAGTAAGAAAACCTCAGAAGGAAACCAGTTGGATTCAAGTAGTATGTAAAGAACCATATACTGGCATCTCTTAGAAATAGTATTTATATGCTAACACAAGCAAATGGCCATTTGGTGTAGGACTTGGTGTGTGCAGGCAAAGTAAGGAAAGGGTACTGTGAGACCACGTTTCACAGCTGCCCATAAGACCCTCACCCTGAGAGGGAGTGGGTAACAAATTCCTAAGGTTGTTAGTCCTTCTGTATTTGAGCCTGGTACAAAGCTCTAGCATCTGTGTTGACAGTTAGGTCTGATCCAGTGAGAATTGTGTTTGTCACAGTTAAGTCGGTTAGTTTTGGAGATGTTTTCACTGTCCGGAGACTCTCTCTATAAAGGTATCTGTTGGAGTGGGACTGGTTTGGAATGCTGCGGTTTGGTTTTAACTGCATCTTACATCAAAATGTGTAACTTGGGCTCCTTTCGCCTTAAAAATGAAAACAGCAAGATGGAAATCCTTTAAAATTATGTCATAGATAATCTAGGAGTTGGATTCTACCAATATTAACTGCTTTTGAAATTCTTGGCTAATGGTTCACAGATCAGAGTTTAATTTTCCAGGAAAACTACAAATAATTATTTTTCATTTTTCCTGAAACTCTCGACTGATGGTTACCCTGAACTTACCGGCATTTACCTTTGAGAGAAGGGTCCATACGTCAACGACATTTTCAGCTGATTTTTCTTTGTACTCCACTTAGAGATGGTTCCCCCTGCTCTACCCTACCCCCAAACCACTTTCTTGCAGCATCTTAGATACAGTCTTAGACACTATGTGTGTGTGCAGTTAGTGTATAATTAAGTTGTACAAATGTTAGCAGTAGGTTGATTGCAGCAAGAAATTACTGCTTTGCCTGTGATTTTCCTCGGCTCTGAATAGCATTTAGGATTTGGAAGTCATTTGTTGTTAAATACTGACAGTCTGATTCTTTTCCTGGTAATGTCCGAGAATCTGCTGTAAGCAAGTATAAGAAAGCAGAATGTGGTCCCCCACCTGCCTGAGTAGGTGGGGAATACCTGGACGCAGAGCTAAGCAGTTGAAGTTTCATTGCTCTGGTCCAACTCCAGTGACTCTGAAAATGCCTTTGAATACAGAGGTAGTTGGCAGCTGGTGGCTTGCAGCTCTGCTGAGTGATGGTCCCTTTTAGCTCAGCTTACTCATGTTTGAAATAGAGCCTCAGACAGAGCTGTGGAATTGCTGAGGGGCTTTGTTGCATATTTTGGTGCTGGCGCCATGGTGACCGGAAAGCTGAAAACACAGACATTTGAAATCTCACTGTCTACTCTGCATCTGAGTCAAACTGGGGCTTTGTGTGTGTTTGTATGATCCTTTATTCACATGCTCTTTATAGTTGAATGTTTTTAATCTTTTGGATTGTCATAAAGTTGTAAACAGAATGTAGTATACAGAATGGAGAAAGGGGAGGAAATAGTTTGAACTGCAAGGTCGGCGGTTCAAGCTCACCATCTCCTCCTCGGAAACTCTATACAGGGTCGCTATGGGTCAAAACCGTCTTGACAACACTTCACAATAACAACAACAACAATGTGTCTTGGGGAGTCCTCAAGCCACATTTTGAGGCTCTAATGTGGTGCCGTGGGTTAATGAGCTGGACTGCAAAGTAGGTTTGAACCGCAAGGTCGATGGTGCAAACTCACCAGCTCCTCCTTGGAAACCCTATACAGGGTTGCTATGGATCAGAACCAGCTAGACAGCACTAAACAACAACAATGTGTCTTGGTATTCTCTGGGTTGAAGCAGCAAGTCAAATGTTCATGGCAGTTCCAGCTTGGAAGTGAGTAGGCTGATGGGTGATGGCTGTGGCTGCCCTATCCAACTGGGACCCTGACAAGGTAGCTGTTCTCACAAGGGGGCCAGGATGAAGCCTATGCTGTTGTTGCCCAGAGGTTGGGGTTGTGGGTGTGGTCTGGTTGCCCTGTTGGGAGTTTCACATGTTCTGGTTGTGAAGGACCTAGTAAGGAGAACCTGGGAGGTACCACTGCTAGCCTAAAGGTTGATGCTTTGAAACCACCCAGTGGCTCCATTGAAGAAAGGCCTGACAAACTGTTTCCATAAAGATGACAGCCAATAGGGGGCTGGTGGTGTTGTTGGTCCATGTCAGAGAGTCGGTTCCGACTCAGCGACCTGCACAACAGAATGAAATGCTAGCTGGTCCACACCAACCTCTTGACTGTTGTCTCACTTGGGTCCATTGCTGCTGCCACTGTACCATTCCATCTTGTTCCTCTTCTATGCCGACCCTTCACTTTACCAAACATAATGTCCTCCAGGGACTGGTCCCTCCTGATAATATATCCAAAGTGTGAGAGACAGTGTATTGCAATCCTAGCTTTTATGTAGCATTCTCTTTGTACTTCTTCCAGCATGGATTTGTTTACTCTTCTGACAGCCCATGATAACCTTTATATTCTCCAACACCATAACTCAAATGTTGTTAAGTGCCGTTGAGTCGGTTCCGATTCATAGTGACCCTGAGTAGGGTTTTCGAAGCTGTACATCTTTACGGGAGCAGAAAACCTCATCTTTTTCTTGCAGAACGGGTGGTAGCTTTGAACTGCTGATCGTGAGGTTAGCAGCCTGATTCGTAATCACTATACTACCAGAGCTCCTTAGCGACCCTGTTATTGGGCTTCTGAGGAGTGATGGATGGGTTTGAACTGCTGACCTTAAGGTTCAAACTAACATTTCAACCCAGTACTTATCCTACAGCGCCACACCAGGGTAAACTCACGTAAACATAAGTGACAAGGCCAGCCATATACAACAAGAAGGAAGTTGTCAGAGGAAAGATGAAGGGAGCAGGAGACACAGGGAGAAGTTAAAGGAAATAGAGGTGAATACTGTTAATGGATGGTTCATGGAGGGGATTGCGGTTATTGTAATGAAGTGAAATTTATAACTGGCTGAATGTAAAACCGATGATTATTTGCTCTGTAAATCTTCACTCAATTCACAATAAATAGTTCAAATAAATTGGGAGAAGAAAATAAAAGATTGTGCCAAGAGCACTCAAGTCTACTCTTTTACACATGGGGTTGAATGAGTCAGAATCAACTTAATGGAAGTGAGTTTTGGTTTGCATAAGGGATTAATTGGATCTTATTAATGAGTAAGGTTTGCATAGAAGTTGGCTGTGTGCTTGGAGTGTTCACATCAATGCATACCTGGTGTGTAAACAGGCTGAGGCTATGCGCCTGAGGGACACAGGGTATAAAGGTTTGCTGCTGTAAAGTCAGGAGCCAGATTGGAAAGTGAGTAGGACACATATTTGAGGCCCTTTGGAGAGACTAGTAAGAGGTAGGCATTCCTATCACAGAAGTAGGTTGCAGAGCTACTACCCAGGTAGTTGCTGAATTTGGATTTGAACTGCCCACACTTTGGTTAGGAGTCAGTGCAAGAGGTTGTGCCAAAAGTGAAAAGAAAAGTAGTGCAGCCTCAGGAGGAGAAATCGTTTAGGCTGAGATTGGACACATGGTGCTGGGCACTACATTGGAGTCTGTAAGGTAGCCAGAGTGTGTCTACAAGATAGATGGCCCTAGACTGATTCTGTCAACTTGGTCCCACTGTGTTTTCCAGTCCGTAGAACACTTGAAGTCTTTGAATACAACTCCCTGTGTAGCCTCCTCATTAGTTTCCAAATTACAGGTATATTTTATTATCCTAGAAGATAATCATATGTCTCAGCTGTTCCTCTGAAACCCGATTCAGGATCGATAAGAGTCGGAACCGACTCAGTGGCATTAACAACAACAATAAGGTCAGCAATATTTTATGTAGGGTCATTAGTCTATAAACCATATTAGGTTAGTTGTATTTAGATTTCTCTCACGTGATATTGCTTTTAAGTACTCTCAGGTCGGTTCTGATTCATAGTGAACCCTGCCTAGGGTTTCCAATGCTGTAAATCTTTAATGGAGCAGAAAGCCTCATCTTCCTCTCACAGAGCAGCTGGTGGGCTCAGACCACTGACCTTGTGGTTCACAGTCCAGGGCTGATCCTACAGAGTCGCGACACTCCCCACTCTCACCTAGACCTAGGATATGTATGTAAATAAGAAAGGATTTCCCTAAAAGATGACAAAAACATGTACATATGTGCTGCCAACATTTGCTGAGTATTCTCAAAATTCTTTTGTACTGGTTATTTTTATAAAGCAACTTGTATGTGTTCTTAAATAGCCCCTTAATTTTTTTTTTGTACTGGTATGTGTGTGCTTTGAATTTCTTGATTTTTGTCAGAGGTAAATGTGTTTAATTTATTTTTTAAATGTAAAAAAAAAAGATGTATTTATGTATAAGTAGTCCTGGTATGACACTGTAGGGTAAGCACTGGACTACAAGGTCAGTTTGAACCTCAAAACTCACCACCTGCTCCTCGGAAACCCTATACAGGATCACTATGAGTCAGAAACGATTCAGCAATGTGAGGGGGCATCCAAAAGTTTGTAGGACATAGAATTGAAAGATAATGGAATTTTCCCATGAACTCTTTGAAGCCCCCTTGTATATATCTATATACTAAAAATAGAGTGGGTTGCTCCTTCGGGCTTTCTTGCTTGTCATCTTTACAAAAGCACATCCAGGCCTTTTTTACTGTGATGCCATTGTGTGGACTTGAAACACCGGCTTTTAAGTTAATAGGGTAACTTGTTTATGCTGTTCAGGAACCTATATGCATACCTGCATGCACATAAAGCATTTGAAGTTTAGAACTATCTTTATTTCTGGAAAAGTCCATGTGGCTACTGAGGCTTATTTTAGCATTTTATGAGCTGTGGAGGGATGAGGGATAAACACAGAAAGTGCTTGTTTAATTAGCAAGGTTGGAGTTCTTATTAATTAAACAAGAGCAGAGGGCTCCCAGGAGCAGCAGAGAGGCATCTAACACCATGAGATGTATTAACAGTAGGTACTGAGACTTCACTGGGTGACACTTGATTGTCAAGGTTCCTCATAAAAATTCATGGTGCAGTCTATCTTATCTCTTCCCAGGAATAGTGGAGAATTATGGCAATCATACCCACATGACTTTAGATGGAGACTTCAGGAGTCTTGTTTTTAATCACCTTTTTGCTGAATAATAATGCTGGGAAAATAAGCTGGGGCAAACAAATAAAAACTTAAAATGCTTAAATTGTTTTGAACTGAATTTTTTAGTAATTTATAATGCAAAGTAGTTTGGGTATGATATGAAACTCAACTTTGAAGAGACTAAATTTTTGTTTAATGTTACAGCGACAAGCTCAACCAAATTGGAAGATCTGAGCTACTTAGATGGGCAGCGAAATGCTCCACTTCGAACGTCCATTAGGTTGCCATGGCACAATACAGCAGGAGGTAGGGCACAGGAAGTTAAAGGTATTTATTCTCACATCTCTTGTGATAATGAAAACTCATTCACAAAACAGCGAATGTCTGTGTGCTAACCAGCATTTAAGCAAGCTTTTTTTTAAAAAAATAATAATAATAATGTGAAATGTGTGTGTGTGTGTGCTAAATTTTTTCTGTAAGGTATGCTAGGGGACATCGTTAACAGTTTGGGGATTCCTTCTGTAGATGTGATTGAAAATTATTCTGCAGTAAGTTATTTTGAAGTGAACAGAGAAATACCAAAATTGGTTGCTGTTACGATGTTACAGTCGGTTCTGACTCAGTGAGCCTGTATAGAGTTTTCAAGGCTTTACATCTTCACAGGAGCAAAAAGCCTCATCTTTCTCCCTTGAGCTGACTGGTGGACTCAAACTGCGGACCTTGTGGTTCTCAGTCCAATGCTTATCATATGGAGCCACCCCACTTCCATTACCAACATAGAATCGGCTTTATTTCAGTTCCTTGGACTATTGCCACATCATGAGGCTATCCAGAATGCACAATTGTGTGGTCAGCTGCCTCATCACATGGGCAAAGCACCATTACACCCCAGGAGAACTGTGGTCCTATCTCTAGGAAAACACTTTTCCATTTTACTCAGACAGTAGTGGAAAAAACATGTCTTAAAAATGGTAAAACAACGAGATTATAGTGTGACCCCTGGACATCTCTTATTCCAACCTATGCCTGTACCTCAATGTAATGAAAATAAAATGGAATGCGTAAACATCAATATTTTAGGCATTAGTGAGCTGAAATGGACTGGTATTGGCCATTTTGTAATGAAGAAAAGACTAGGAAGTCATTTTTCTAGGACACTTTTGTAAGACCAATGTGTATGATACATGAAGTACTACCAGAAATACTAATGGAACCAGAATGGAAATGCTTCAGATTCCTTGTGGGTTGCAGCTAAAAGCTTTACTAAGAACATATAACACATGAGACAATATATTCTGAGGTTTTTTTTATATATATAAAAATTATGCCATTATTTTTCAATAATGATCTTTTTGTTTTGTTTTGTTTTGTTTTAAGCACGGTTTGCGCCCTACAAGCCACAAGACATTTTGTTGAAACCCTTGTTGTTTGAAGTACCAAGTATTACGACAGACTCTGTGTTTGTGGGGAGGGATTGGCTCTTTCACCAGATTGAAGAAAACTTAAGGAACACAGAACTGGCAGAAAATAGAGGAGCTGTTGTCATTGGAAATGTGGGATTTGGAAAGACGGCAATCATTTCTAAGTTGGTGGCACTTAGCTGCCACGGAGGTCGCATGAGACAGATCGCATCCAACAGCCCTAGTTCATCACCTAAAAGTATGTCCTTGTTTAATCACTTGTCTAGTTTATTATAGTGACAGATGATGGATGGGGAAAATGATTGTTTGGGTAGACATAAATTGCCTTTTTTTTTTTTTTTCCTAATTGTTCCAGCTTCTTGATCAGGTCTGCAATCGTATGTTCAAGAACTGTTCTAATACCTCCATCTGTCTTAGCACTAACATACCCAGTATAAGCTAGGGAAGACCAGCTTGTCATCCTGGCGTCTAGACCCTGACCTTTGTGCATAGGCAGAAATGGGGCACCAAGGCCTGCTCAAGTGCCCTGGTGGACTTTGGGCTCAAAAACCCAGAGTTGGGCTCCTGATAGAACAAGCCAAATGGAACCCAATGCAGAAATCTTTTGTACCCTGCTATCTACATTCTTCGTGTCTTCGAAGTTACCAAAATTATAAAGACTCAATTAGAAAGGGGGAAAGAGTGGTCAAATGCTTGACTGTTGACTATTTAACACAACAAACCCACTCAAACTCAACGATCTTTAAACATAATGAGCCATGAAACTTCTGACTTTTGATTTTAGAAGTGTTTATCCAGTTAGGAAAAAAGGAATGGAAAATAGGAGACAGAAAGAGGATGTGGCTTAAGCAATGTTACACTGTGAGAATTACAATAATGACATGAAACAAAATGTGTGTGAATCGTTAAATGGAAAACTCATCTAGTTTGTGTATCCTCATCAATTCACAATAAAAAGTTAAAAAAAAAAAAAAAAAAAGAAAAAGTGCCCATTCTGGGAACTATGGTCTGACCCTACCTCAGTGTGTTAAATAACATTTTGGCACTTTAATAGGTCAGACGTATTACACAGCCATTAGTATATTATATATGAAGTTCATGCCATAACATGGAAACCTCTTTATAATATAATGCTAAATAGAAAAGGTTGAAAATGAACTTATATATGTGTCACAGTGACACCTATGTGAGTAAATGCTTAGAGACAATGGTCTGAAATGAAGTTGGGTCAACTGAAAATAGCTTGAATAGCTGGGATGGTGTGTTGGTAGATAAAGGTTTTTTTGTTTTTGTTTTTATGTAGATCTTTAAACATTGTTGAAATTTTAATAAAAATGAAGATTTCAGGTTAATTTGAAAGCAGGAATCTAAAATTCAGAGAATATAATCTTGTAAACATCAAAAAACTCCAACTAGAAACTGTTGATTTAAGTTGGTAGATCCAACCCTCTACCTGCACACAGCAACCTTACTGCCTCACTCTGTAATCCCCTCCCTGACACTCCTGGCTTTTATTTAAAATGTTATTTGTTCTTAATGGATTTTTTTTGGCAATGGTTTTGATTTTTTTAGTTGATTTATTTTGATGACTAAGTGCCATTTGATTGTATGTATGTACCTTTATCCACACATATATTGATGGGCATTTGGGTTTCTTCCACCTTTGGGCTATTGTGAATGGTACTGCAGTGAACATTAGTGTACACGTGTCTTTTTGCATCTCTGTTTTGGAGTCTCTGGGGTTCACTTGTTAAGTGTTGTTGAGTTGGTTTTGACTCCTAGTGACTCTGTATATGATTTCTAAGGAGCAGCTGGTGAATTTGAAACACCAACCTTGTAGCTAGCAGTCCAGTACTTATCCTAGGGTACCACACCAGGACCCCTCGGACATACTACGGGGACTTTAAAAAGTTTGTGGAAAATCTGAATTAAATGAGAATGGAATTTTTCCATGAACTTTTTGAAGCCTCCTCGTATGCCTGCGAATGGAATTGCTGTGTTGGAAGAATTATAGTCAGAATACTCCTTAGAAAAACCAGTTTGTGACCAGACCGTCTCTCATGCTTCAGACATATTACCAGGAGCGACCAGTCCCTGGAGAAGGATATCATGTTTGCCAAAGTGGAGGGTTGGAGAAAAAAAGGAAGACCCCAATGAGATGGATTGGCACACTGGCAGCAGCAGTGGGCTCACAATTGTGAGGTTGGCACAGGGTCAGACAGTGTTTCATTCTGTCCTGTTTAGGGTTGCTATGAGTCGGTACTGACTCAATGACACCTAATAATAATGATAATTCCGTGTTTAACTTTTGGGGAAACATTTTGAGTTTTTAAAATACTACATTGAAACATTAGTCACGTCACTGAATTGTGCATATTGGAATTGTTGAATTGCTGTTTGTTTTCAGGAACAACAAGAAAATGTTTGTTTACTTATTAAGTATTGCATAAAGGGAGGTTGGAAACAGCGATTATCCAGGGAAAACAGCGGGACTTGTGTCCTCATTTGGACCTTTTGGATTCTGTAGCATGTATGCATGTAGCATGTATGCTCATTACCTATGGCAATACTGGAAGAAATCAAAACATACATTCAGTATGTCACCTTAATCCTTATTCTGATGCTGTAAGTAATGAAACTGCTGTTTTTCCCTACAGCTTTAGATCCCTCCCAAGATCTTCCTTTCACTCCACTACTTTCACCGAGTTCTTCCTCAAGTAGTACCCACCCAGCTAAAACAACCTCTGGATCTGCATCTGGTACGCCTGAAAACCAGAGACCAAGAGAAGATGCAGTGAAATACCTCGCTTCTAAGGTAACCTGCTTTTGATTTGGGGGGGATCCTTCCAAAGAAAGACAGACAGACATTTGTTGGTTTGGCTTTTGAGAAATATAAAAAGATCTTAAAACAAATGACAGCTGGTAATGCAGTGGTATAGCTTTTAGCAAAGTTGTGATTATTGTTATTGTTAAATGCTTTGGAGTTAAATGAATAGGGTTTCTGAGGCTGTACATTCTCATCTTTCTCTTCACAGAATGGCTGTTAGACTCAAATCACTGTGGTTTGCAGTCCAGTGCTTATTATACAGAGGCACTGTGCTCCCCAAAGTTGTGATGATGTTGTTGTTGAATGTCATTAAGTCAATTCTGACTCATAGCGACACTGTATAGGGTTTCCGAGGCTTTAAATCTTTGTGGGAGCAAAAAGCCTCATCTTTCTCCCACGGAGTGACTGGTAGGTTCAAATCACCAACCTTGTGGCTTGCAATCTGGTGCTTACAGAGCCACAGCGCCCTCCAAAGTTGTGATGTGTTATTAAGTGCCATGGAGTCGGTTCTGACTCATGGTGAACCCCGTATAAGCATCTGGTGGGTTTGAACCATTAACATTGTGTTCTCAGTCCAGTCCTGATCCTACAGGACTGTTGTTTCTTCTTGCTAAGTGCCATCGAGTCAGGATCCGACTCATAGCGACCCTGTACAGGGTTTCCAAGGAGCAGCTGGTAAGTTAGAACTGCCAGCCTTAACAGCCCACACAGACATTACAGTTTACCGCATTACTCTAAATAAAAGATGTTAATGAAAATAAAGATCTACCTTACCACTCATCTGTCAGTTTATCGTACTGTGGTGGCTTGTGAGTTGCTGTGATTCTGGAAGCTATGCTCCTGGTATTTTAAATACCAGCAGGGTCACCCGTGGTGAACAGGTTTCAGATGAGCTTCCAAACGAAGCCAGACTAGAAAGAAGGAGTGATGAACTACTTGCGAACATTTAGTCACTGAAAACCTTACGAATAGCAGAGAAACACTGTCAGATATAGTGCTGGAAAATGAACCCCTCCGGTTGGAAAGCACTCAAAATGCTACCGGGAAGAGCTGCTTCTTCAAAGTAGAGTGGACCGTGATGAAGTGAATGGAGTAAAGCCCATGGGAGAAAAGTCCACGGGACCTTCATTTGCTGATGGGGAAGAACACAAAATGAAGAGAAACAGCTGTAAACATCCATTGAAAATCGGAACACGGAATGTACCAAGTATGAATCTGGGAAAATTGGAAGTTGTCAAAAATGAAATGGAATGCATAAACATGGATATCTTAAGCATTAGTGAGCTGAAATGGACTAGTATTGGCCATTTTAAATCTGAAAACCACATGGTTTACTATGCTGGGATCCGTGTTGAAGCCAGAGTGCTCCTTGGAGGCCAGGATGGCCAAACTTCGTCTCTCATACTTCGGACATATTGTCAGGAGGGACCAGTCGCTGGAGAAGGATATCATGCTTGGTAAGGTGGAGGGTCAGAGAAAAAGAGGAAGACCCCCAACAAGATGGATTGGCCAAGTGACAGCATCGATGAACTCAAGTGTGGCAACAATGGTGAGGTTGCCCCAGGATCAGGCAGTGTTTCGTTCTGCTGTGCATAGGATCTCTATGAGTCAGTACTGACTTGATGGCACCTAACAACACAACAACAACAATCATAAGATGCTGGGTAGGATCTTCTTTGTGTCTCAAACATTGGGTTGAAAGAACTTCTCTGAGCAGCAGAAGTTGTGCATTCACAGCAAATCCATCCTTATAAGCATATGTTCTCCTTAATTTGGTATGAGAGCCAGAAGTTTAGGAGCTTTGAACTTGACCCAGACTTCTTCCAGGGAGTCCATTGCTTGGGGCGCTTGGCTGCCTGTGTCTTCTGCCAGAGGTTTCCTGTGATGTTGTAAAAGAAACTTGGCTTACTTTTGTATCCTAATTGCATGGTCATCAAGGCCCTTCTGAAATTTTCCTCTGCTCATGTTTGTCTGTCGCTGGTTCTTAAATTGCCCTTCCAGCATTAGGCAGCTACATCTCTCAGTTCTAGTTAGCCACTTGGGTCTTCTTGGGCAGTGGTGGTTTTGAGGCAATGGAGCTAGAGTGATGGCCACGGTTCAGGGAACTTAGTGAGGATAACCCTTTGTGGGTGAGGTTGATGATGGAAACTGATCCTTTCTTTTCTTCCCAGATCATGGCTGTTGCTCACTTTGCCTGGTCAGCCCTGATGCTCCCATCACTGATTCACAGCACACATCTAGTCAGTTGTTAAGTGCCATGGAAGTCAGTTCCAACTCATAGTCACCCTGAATAGGGTTTCTGAGGAATGGCTGGTGATGCAGGGATTTGTTGTTATTGTTAGTGCCATTGAGTTGTTTCTAACTCCTGTGTAGGGCTCCCGAGGAGCAAACTGGTGAGTTTGAACCCCCAACCTTGAGGCTCAAACTGATCTAGCAGTCCAGTGCTCATCCTGCAGTCCCACACAGCATGATGTGAAATGTTGAATCCAGCAGACTTCAGAGTCACCCCTGCTACTTGACTATTGAGTTCCTTTCTGTGACCCACAATAAGAAATACAAGACAGCGTCAAGAAGTTCATGGAAAATTTCCATTATCTTTCAATTCCATTTCCCCATGAGATTTTTTAAAGCCCCCTTGTACCTTTTACCCATAATTGCACACATGCAAACCATCTGTGTCAGAGTAGGGCTGTGCTCTGCAAGGTTTTCGGTGACTAGTTTTCTGGAAAAAGATCACCAGACTTTACTTCCAAGGTCTCTCTGTGTGGACTTAAACCTTTGGTTAGTGGCTGAGCACATTAGCCATTTGTACTATCGGGGACTAGAACTATATTTTATAGTACACTCTGGTATTTTACGTTCTTTTTATATATTAAATATACATATGTGCTGTTTGTGAGTACAATTTCAGTTTATGTCTCACTTCTGGTTTTGCAGACTTTGTAAAGCACCATGCTGACCTCTGGTGCCGGATGTCTCATGGACAGCTAATTGTACAGTGGTCTGTACAAGCGCAGGAGTCCTCACATAGGTGCCTGCCAGTCTCCATCCAGGTGAAAGCTGAATAGCAGACAGCTTTCCTCTGAGTGTTGATGCTAAATTTAATCTAAAGCAGGAGTCATGTGGCAGTTTCCGATGGGCCTAAGAACGGCTCTTACGGCCACTTAGAGACTGCAGACTGGGAATCTTTCATTGACTTTCTTCATCACCTCGTTGAGGCATTTCACCTTTGCATCTGTAGCTCTGAACCATAGCTAGTGGTTCCTGTAAAGATACCACCCAGCAGTGGAGGGTTTGTGGAGCTAAGTGGCATGGCAGGGATTCACATGCTTCTGAAAACCAAGCAGCACTCTACACAGATGCATTTTGCCCTTTTTGACCTTATCACTTCATCTTCAAATAGTCCGCTTTTCATCCTCATTTGGAAAAGTATCAGACTTTCCGTTCTGTCTACTGTGAACCTCCCGCTCCAAAGATAGTTCCATATCTGACACTTCCCTTGACTCCAAGTTGAACAGAGAAAACACTCCTCATTTTCGTAATACTCTCATTAATTCACCAGTAACAGAAAAGATTCCTTCCTGATCCTATCTGTGCCTTCTTATTAAAGGCAGAAAAGTGGTGCTTTCTGATATTCATACATCAAACCCTGTCTCCATTGAACTTCTGATTCATGACACTTTAGTGTGTGTGTGTGCTGGGGGTACTGAGGCCTTGTCTCTGGCTGGCTGTCCCTTCTGCAGAGGGAAGAAACAGCTGTGGCTTTACAGCCTGAATTTCATAACCACTAACTTGTTCACCTGCTCCTTGGGAGCTGCAAAACAATTTCACAAAGATGTGCTGCTATTTAAAAAAAAAAAAAAAAAAAAATAGTGAACATGGCACCTTTTGTGGGATTGCTTGAAATTGCCTTAAGTCAGGCTAGGCTTTAGGTTTTATGAATGACTTCATTCATTTATGTTCAATATAGAATACCTGTGCTGATCTTACTTGTAATCAAGATTGATGAGGGGCGGCAATTAAAGGTCTGCCAAGAACTTATTAGCAAACCACATGACTGAATGAAGACTTAGATGAATTATTTGAGCTAAATAATGACTTGGTCTTGGGGAATAGACGCAGTGTGTCTTGTGATCTGCAGATGCATGCTTCTCTTGGAGAGGCGCGTGGCTGCTGACAGCTCTTTTTCCCCCACAGGTCGTGGCCTACCACTACTGCCAGGCTGACAACACATACACGTGCCTGGTGCCCGAGTTTGTGCACAGCATCGCAGCATTGCTCTGCCGCTCCCATCAGCTGACCGCCTACAGAGACCTCCTCATCAAAGAGCCCCAACTTCAGAGCATGCTGAGTCTGCGGTCCTGTGTTCAGGACCCCGTGGCAGCTTTCAAGAGGGGTGTACTGGAGCCACTTACAAACCTGAGACACGGTACCTCCAAGAAGTCACCCAAAGCCCTACCCTTCCAACCAGAATCCCCTGAGTGTCCCCAGAAGCAAGCAGGGTGGCCAGTTAGACTGTGGGATAGAAGTAAGGGAAGGGCTTAGGGAGAGGATGTGGGGAGATACATTGATTGATTGGGGAAGTGGCTACCATTTGTTTTGTTCAGGCCTCCTGCTGGAAACCTTGAAACCAGTTGACTTTAAACCTAAAGTCAGCTTTAGAGGTTTCTTTCCGTTTTAACTTGGCCCCTGAATATTATGCAAAGCCAAGGATGCTAATATTACAGTATGGACCCTGTGTTTTTCCCTGTTCCTGCCCTTTGCCCCCTCACAGTTGACCTAGTTTACTTGCCAAAACACCTATTTAGAAATAGAGAGAATGGAAACAGGTCTGTCATCACTTCTCCTCAGTTCCCCAGGCAGAAAGTTGGCACTAAGAAGTAGACGGATGGTTGAATTTGGGCTTGTGGGAAGAGCCGTGTTGTGGGAGCAGGTGAAGCTTGGCTGGGTAACCAATGGCGACATCAGATTTCCTTTCCTGGAATCCACGTGGGAGTTCTGAGAGGGGACTGGGTGCCCTTTCCAGGCTTACTCTGTTTTGAGTGATTCTCTCCACGTAGCTCACTCCAATGACAGCAGTATAGAGAGAGCTAGCTGCATTAGATACATGAATGAGATGCTGCTAATGTGTGCAGTGCAATATGTTTCTGAAAAGTGTTTTGTGAGAATTGGTTTTCTTTTGGCTGAGTGCTCCAGTTTTCATTATAAATTTAATAGAAAAATATGCTTCTGTGAAAACCATTTCTTCTGCCATATGTAAACCTTTTTAGTTTTGCCTAACACTTTAAATTGTGCATTAAAATACACTGTGTGGTGCCACCTTATAGAAGTATAATTTCTTAATTTAAAAAAATTATTTTCTTCTTTAGAGCAGAAAATTCCTGAAGAAGAGTACATTATTTTGATAGATGGCTTAAATGAAGCTGAATTTCATAAACCTGATTATGGGGATACGCTCTCTTCATTTATTACCAAAATTATTCCTAAATTTCCTGCCTGGTTGAAGTTGATTGTGACTGTAAGAGCCAATTTTCAGGTAACAGAAGGATTTTCAGATTTCTTTCTCAGTCTCCATACCCACATTTTTCAGTGATTAATACTAATAATTCAAAATGTTGCAAGCCATTTAGCTGCTCAATTGGAAACTACATTAAGACTTTGAAAAATTAGTCTCCAGAGCCCCAAACGGGTGAAATTCTGACCTTTTTTCTCCTCAACACATATTAATCAAGATGTCAAGTCAGTTTCCTATTAGCACTGAACTGTACTTAAACTTCTCCAATGGAAGTATCTAGTTTCAGCTTACCAAAAATCGAGTTTCTGAAGTGAAACCCATTTAAGTTCCTCTAATAGTAATGCCTACTGTTTGAGGTGTCTGGTTAAAAGGTCTTAAGAGTTTACAGCCATTCCTAATAGCAGTTATTTGCATTGGCTTGGAATGGGGCTTTGTTCCTGATGAAGGGAAGAGTGAGGGATGAAGGCAAGAGATTTTAAGACCTATTCAGAGAGAAAGTCTATTTTTGTCATGACTTAAACATGGGGTAACATTTGCAACTGAATGAAGACTGATTTTTTTTCTTTTTCTTCACTTGCCCCTCCCACCCCATTTGAGACCTAAAATTAGCCATTAACTCTTTTCTTCTACCACTTTCATTTTTTAGTAAAGACATTAGATACTGGATTTTGGTTTTGCCCTTTTATGATACTGTTCATTTAAAAATAGCTTCTGGGTCTCCCCCCTCCCCCCATTAAAAGTAGAATTAGAGCTCAGTTGAACTTGATGCTTGTTTTATGGATACCTGATTCATGTGTGGTTCTGTAATTTTTTTGACACAGGAAGTAGATAGATCTTGACAAACAGTAGAGCAGTGAAACAGGAGTCCTAAGCTTTTCTGACTAGCTGTGTTAAGTTTTGAGTCATTGAGTTACCATCTGTGTAAAATAGGAGTAATTGTCCTCAGCCTGTTTCTATATTTTTTACATTAAATGAGGATATGTGCTTACTTTACTTGAGAAATGATATAGTTAAGTTTTCTTTAAAACAAACAAACAGAAAAGCAATACTCATCTTCACTGTTATACCTTTTGGGTGTGTAGAGCTGGAAAGGGTTTTGAGGAACTGGTGATCTTTTGTTACTAGTAACTAGTTACACGGTGTGTGCCTTAATGAAAGTCTATGAGACTGTACATTTAAGGGTTGTGTACCTCTGTATGTAAGATTTCAGTTTAAAAGTTTGCTTTAAAAATAAAGAAAACAACACACTAAAGTAGGATATAGAACATGGTCTTTGTGGACGAGACTACGGGCCTTTGTTGTCCACCGCTGTGGCTCAAGTTCAGCCAATGTACGGATCTACAAAGGCAACAGTACACTAGCGAGGTATGCACACCTTACAACAATCAACCTTTTGAGATAAAAATTTTTGCCCAAGGACAAAGTTCAGCATTAAGAAAAGAGGAGGAATAGAAGCGGCAAACAGGGTAAGTGATACTGCACTGAGGCTACTGCCGTCAATGAGATGAACAAAACATGTCTGAGTTGTTGAATATAAAACTGTAAACCTTCATCTAATGCACAACAAAAAACATTTTTAAAAATCAATTAAAGCCATAATATGAGTGTTCCAAAGTGCAGGGACATTGTTGCCAGTGAATCAGCTTAGGGGCTGGTTTCAATTCCTTCATTCAGTTAGACAGTCCCAGTATCTGGTATCTGAAGGGAGATGCCTCTTTCTCAACCTCGACCCCGTTCTTAGCTGTTTGGTGCTGGCTGTGTTTGTCCTTGCTGTATAACAACCGCTCAGTGAAGGGGTCAGAGGCAGGGTCTCGCTGGTCCATTGCTGGTACCGACAGATTGACATTGTCTGTCTGGGGCTCTTACTTCCAGCTGGGCTCTGAGTGCTCAGATAAGGGCACTGGAAAGCCTTTACTGATTCAATCTCATATCAGGATTTCTTTCACATAAGCTTTTTATCTTCAACTTATCCTATTACATGTTCTAATACAAAACAATGAGTCCCTGTAATCCATGAAAATCCCCCTTGAAAAAAAACTAGTGAATCTGGTTTGAAATGTTCCAGTCCAGGAGAAATCTCGGTGGAGTGATACTATACGTTTTTGTGTTTTCTCAGGAAATCATAAATGCACTGCCCTTCATCAGACTTTCCTTAGATGACTTCCCGGACAACAAAGACATTCACAGTGACCTGCACGCCTACGTCCAGCACAGGGTCCACAGCAGCCAGGACATCCTCAGTAACATCTCTCTGAACGGCAAGGCCGATGCCGCCCTCATAGGCAAAGTGAGCAGCCACTTGGTGCTGCGGAGCCTCGGCTCCTACCTGTACCTGAAGCTTACCTTGGACCTCTTCCAGAAGGGACACTTGGTTATTAAAAGTGCCAGCTACAAGGTCGTCCCTGTGTCTTTGTCTGAGCTGTACCTGCTGCAGTGCAACATGAAGTTCATGACCCAGTCTGCCTTCGAACGAGCACTTCCAATTCTAAACGTAGCCCTGGCCTCTCTCCACCCCATGACGGACGAGCAGATTTTCCAGGCCATTAATGCTGGCCACATTCAAGGGGAGCAAGGGTGGGAAGACTTTCAGCAGAGAATGGCTTCTCTCTCCTGCTTCCTCATTAAGCGGCGAGACAGAACCCGCATGTTCTGTCATCCGTCCTTCCGGGAGTGGCTGGTGTGGAGAGCAGATGGTGAGAACACAGCCTTCCTGTGTGAGCCCAGGTATGACAGGCTGCTTTCTCTCAGCTGTCTTCAGTGCGCCTGAACTGCAACCGGGGAAGAGCATGCAAGTCACAGTTTCAAGAAAAGGCAGCCCAGGATGAACCACTCAGATTTGCTATTTTGTTTTTCCTCATTTTCTCCCTTTTTGGCAAAAGGGGGAAAAAATTCTCTTATATACAAAAGTTTCTTCTCTTTAGCTTTTTTAGGAATCCTCAGTAGATTAGGATGGAAGAGAAGCTAGTGAGTACCATGTGACCCCTTTTTGCTGTCCTCTTCTTTCTAGACCCACATCACACTCTTCTTATTTTAATGAAGGTCAGATTTGAAAAGTGTGATGCTGCCATGGGGGCAGCAGGATTCTCCAGCAGCTGAGCACAGTTTCTTCGCTTGTGGGCCTGTGGGCTGTCTTGGACTCTCCATCATGCCCCACCACCACCACCTCTAGAGCGAGTAGTGACTTTGTCTTGTAGATCCCCCAGCCAGGGATCAGATGTATTTGGAGACCCAGAGAGGGACCAGAGTGATGCAGTCTGACTGCCTCATTTTGTATTTGTGGTTCACCTTAGAATAGCAGACTTTAGACATGGAGGTTGTAAGTTCCAATACCAAATGCTCCTTGACAAGAGGGAGCTGGGTCAGCTGCGTCCAGAATGTCAGATGTTAATGCTGTGGATTTGCAGCAGAGCCAGGCCAGAGTGAGCTTTCTCCTCAACCCTCTGGGCTGCTTTTATTATAAGGTGGTTGGGGTTAAGTGCCGTTGATTCGGCTCCAACTCACAGAGAGTCTCCAAGGAGCATCTGTTGAGTTTGAACTGCTGACCTTGTGGTTAAAACCGACATTGCAGTCCAGTGCTTTATCCCAGAGTGTCACACCAGGACTTTAATAGGAGGCGGATAAACTGTTCATTGTGTGACTTGGTAGTAGATACAGCTAGAGACTGAAGAATTGGAGGTGCGTATCTTGTCAGAGAAGGTCTCATTGAGCGGTCTGCCTCTGTCCACACTGCCCTTGGCCTGCATCTTTGCTTCCTTCCATAGCTGATGCTCCCTGTGGGTCAGTAGGTAGTAGGACTAGAATGCTGCTAAATCCTATCTTGGACTGATCACCTGACCAGATGGTGAAATCCAGAAATGAAGAGGGGAACAAGCACTTGTCAGCCACACACTGCCTTCCTTCCTATGAGCATTGGCTTAACACCTCATAGGTTTCACTGCTGTTGTCTTAGGGGCCATGGGACAGTAGTATCAAGACTGGATTCACATTCTGATTCAGTGTGCAAATTATTTTAATTCTCCAAGCCTTAGATTCCCTATCTGTAAGATGAGAAAGAATGCCGCCTCAGTAGGTGGGTATTAAACCAGTGTTGAAGATCTTCTCTTCTTTCCCTTAGTCCTGGTCTCCCTACTCTGGATTGACTTAAGTTAGAATTCCAGGAGTGAGATGAGGGAATTAGTGTCTTCAGTCATCATTCATGTCACCCAGACGTTAGCATTATTCACATTTTACAATATTTGCTACATGTTACTTTATGTCTTTTCCTAAAGTCTTAAAATTGTGGCACTGTAGGATCAGCACTGGACTGTGAACTACAAGATCCGTGGTTCAAGCTTACGAGCTGCTCCTTGGAAACCCTATACATGGTCACTATGACTCGACATCATTTAACAACAGAAAACATAAAATTATAAACAACATAACGTTTTCCCCTGAATAATTGATTATATGCATCTTGAAAAAAGGGGACATTTCGTAATCACAGTACCATTGCCATACCTAAAACAATTTAACAATAACATCAATATTTAGCTGTGCTCAAAATTTTTTTAGATTCTTCCATATTTTTAGAGTATGTTCAAATCAGGATCCACAGAAGGTCCATAAAATGCATTCAATTGTTTTTTATTCTTTAGGTTCCCATCTTACAGGGGGGTTTTTTGGTTTGTTTTTGTGTTTTTTTCTATGTAAACTACGGAGTTGGCTCTGTATTATTTTCCTTAGTCTGAATTCTGTTGATTGCATCCTTGTAGTGTTTTTTAATGTGTTTCTCTGACACCTTGATTCGTCCATGTTAACTATTAAATCTAGAGGCTTGATCACATCAGCTTTTGCCGACTGGGTGAATGGTTTCAGTCTTTAAGTGGTGGTGCTGAGTACCTCCATCATGAGACACGTATCTTAGTTATCTGTCTATAATGCTTAGGTGATGCTGAGATCACTTTCTGGGTGCATCGATTTGTGATGGTGGCACATACACACACAGACCATACCTATCTATCACTGTTGAGTCGATTCCGACTCCTAGCAACCCTATGTGTTACAGGTAGAACTGCTCCTTAGCATTTCCTTAGTGATAATCTTACAGGTAAGGAGCAGCCCTGATAGCACAGTGGGCTGTGAGTTGGGTTGGAAGCCACAAGGTCAGCAGTTTGCTCTTCATCTACAAGCCACTCTGTGGGAGAAAGATGAGACTTTCTGCTCCCATAAAGATTTACAGCCCTGGAAACCCTATACAGGGTCGTTATGAGTGGGAACTGACTGAATGGCACACAACCACCCCCACCACCAATCTTGTGGAAGCATATCACTGGGCCTTGGTTTTTTGTGTCACCTTTAAGGTATCTTCTGACCTCTGAACTGTATGTTAGTAGTTGAGCCCAAACCATTTGTATTACCTAGGTACCATAGACTCATTCCATCTAGAATAATCTCCCATCCCATTGACTTAAGTGCATGGTTGGGATTTCAGTAGGTAGAGCAAGGCCACTGCATATAGGACACACTGTAATCATTGTGTCAGAAGTGACAGGCCACAAACAACAAATCTAGCTTTGAGTGGTTGCCATAGGAACAGAAGAGCAGTAACAGCAAGCAGAAGGATGTTCTGGGGAGTGGCCTTTTAGCTGTCATCTCTGGAGACCGATGGTTCTAGAGCATGGAGTGTGCATGCACAGGAGTGTGGGGAGGACTGTCACAGACAGGAGCCAGAACTTGAGTATGAGGATGATGGGGTGGAGCCAGGCCCTTCTGATTGAGGTAGATGAACATCACTTGTCCTTGTGGGCAGAGTCAAGGAAGAAGAAGAGCCTCAAATGTGATTCCATTGTGTTAAGCCTCTGAAATTAGACATGACATTGATTTTAAAAGGAAAAAGGTGATGTTGGGTAGGTTTTATAAGAAAGGAATGGGCTTCAGTTTGACCTTGAGGGATGGGTAGTAAGAGTCTCCCAGGTGGGCAGTGGACAACCCAAACCAAATCCACTGCTGATGAGTGATTCTGACTCATAGCAACCGAATAAGACAGAGTAGAACTGCTCCAAAGGGTTTCCATGTCTAAATCGTATGGATGCAGACTGCCTCATCTTTTTTCCTGCAGTGCAGCTAGTGGCTAGGAACTGCTGACCTTTTGATTAACAGGCTGACACTTAACCCACTGCACCAGTAGGTTTCACTGGACAGTGGGAGGTATGTCTAAGGATAACAAGCACAGTTGGCAGTTGTAGAGAGATTTTTGACATCATTGATGCCAGTGGTGGTGGTAGACGTTGGATACGGTAGTGTTGTAGTTACGTGCTATTGAGTCGATTCGGACTCCCAGCAACCCTGTATAGGGTTTCCAAGGAACTGCTGGTGGATTTGAGCCACCAACTTTGAGGTTCCAACCAACCTAGCAGTCCATTCCTTACCCTACAGTGCAATACCAGGATTCCAAGCTAGTATATAGTTAGAGGAAAAAGAACTGGTTTTCTTGGGGGCTTGGAAGACTGTTTTGGGAAAGGAACTTGTGTGCCATTGAGTTGGTTCCAACTCACAGTTCCCTTGTATTGGAACAGCTGGTGAGTTTGAACTGCCACCTTGGCAGTTAGCCGTCCAGTGCTCATACTGTAGTGTCACTAGGACCTCAGTAGAGCAAGAGATTGGGAGATTGTTGGAAACATCATTGAGACAAACAGTGTGGGTAAACACCTAATCCACAGAAAAGGGGAAATTGGCAGTGTGAGGGGTTGGGATGCACAGGTGACTTACCCCTTCCCTATTCTCACTAACTCTGTCCATAGCATCATTCTAGCTGTGTTTGTCTTTTTCCTGTGTGTCTCCTCCAAACTCTTAGAGCTCCTCAGGGGAAGCATCTGGGATCATTCTCCACAAAACCTCCAGTACCAAGCATGGGGAGGGTTGAAAGGGGGATTTTGAATGAGTGAATGAACGCATCCTGTTGTTACACTGAGTGATGAGGAGCATGTGCTGTCACATCCAGCTGACTGCAGTTCAAATCTCTCCACCATTATTTATCAGCCATTTGTTTTTTTGAGTAAATCACTTGATCTATTCATATACAATAGGAATCATAATACTTAATGATACAATTAGGCATTGGGGCTGGCAATTAATTTATGCTTAATATACCTGAGCTTGACAAAATGAACAGACACATGAATGCAGGTGGACTTCGAAGGAGGCAAGAGGGAAAGGAAGGAGAAAGTGAGAGGTAGAGGTGTGTAGACATGGGCATAGGCATTGCAGGGGGAATTTTCTCTTTAGAGAGCAGAGAAACTGTGTGCTTAGCTGAGCATACTGGAAAACCATCGGTCTGCCACCATGGGGAGTGTGATCGTCACCCTGGAAAGGCCAGAGCAGTATTCAGCTTGGTGTGACTATCACAGACACAGTTCATGTGGTCTCAAAGCTTGGGAGACTTAGAATACCTTCGCCGGAGGCTGGGAGGGCAGCCCTGACTGGTGGATTGGTCCAGTTCAGGTTGGGACCAGCCTCCTCTGCACAGGTAACCAGGAAGGACCAGGGCCCGGAGCCCTGCAAGGTGGCAGAGCAGTTGCCATGAAGTGAGGGGAGGCTGTCATCTGAGAGTTGAGATCTAGAGCCTGGGTGCGGTGGATTAGGAAGTTCTGTGAAGAACCTCTGTGTTTCTTGTTTTAGGAATGGGCATGCTCTGCTGGCATTCATGTTCTCTAGACAGGAGGGCAAGCTCAACCGTCAGCAGACCATGGAACTCGGCCACCACATCCTCAAGGCACACATTTTCAAGGTGAGATGCACACATGTAACCAGAAGGCTTGCTTCATCATTGTTGTCAGTTTGGTTTCTTTCTCTGTCTTTTTTTGTTTGTTTGTTTGGTTTTGAAACTTTTTGAAAATTTTGTCACCTTTATTCCAAAAGTACCCCATAAATTCCATCCGGTCCTCCCTGAAAGTAGTAACTACTATTCTGACTTCTGTCATAATCACTTCCTCGCATTTCTTTATAGTTTATTCAGTTGTACATATAAATGCTATGGTTACATTTTACTTTTCCCTCCTTCAAATCTCCTGTAAGTTTCTTTTAATCTCCTTTGCTTTTTTTTTATTGTGACAGATATACATGTAACAAAATATTTGACCTTTCAACAGTCTTCATAAGTATGTACAAGTTCAGTGACATTACGTATCATGTTCAGCCACCATCCTCAAGCTTAATGTCGTTGTTGTTAGGTGACATCGAGTCAGTTCTGACTCATAGTGACCTTATGCACAACAGAACGAAACACTGTCCGGTTCTGTGCCATCCTCACAGTCATTGAACCCGTAGCTGCTGCCATTGTGCCAATCCATCTCATTTCAGTGTTTAGTTTCTGGTGCTACATGACAGCATTCTGCTGTTATTCATAAGGTTTTCTGTGACTAAACATTTACAAGTAGCCCGCCTCTCCTTCCTAGACTGTTTTAGCCTGGAAGCTAAAACTGTTCACCATGGATGTACCCTGCTGGTATTTAAAGTACCGATGGCATAGTTTTCAGCATCACAGCAACACGCAAGCCACCACAGGATGACAAACTTATACATCACCCTTAACAGAAGTTTAGTGTCCCTTAAGCTTCGAGTCTCCCTGTCCCCCTCCCTACTGCTTACCCCTACCTGCTGCCTTCTAATTGATTCCAACTCAGAGCGATGTGTGTTCCTTAGGGTTTCTGAGAACTGTACTTCATTACAGGAGCAAACAGCCTCATCCTTCTCCCACTGCACCCCTAGGACTCCTTTCACCTACCCCTGCAAACCACTGATGAAATATTGTCTGCGTGCATTCATTCATTCTAACTAATTTCATTTACGTGGGCTTACATCATATGTCCTTTTGTGCCTGATTTATTTCACTCAGCACAGTGTTTTAAAGGTTCATCCATGTTGTAGCATGTATCAGGACTTCATTTCTCAATGGTTGAGTAATAGTCATTGTACAAATGAGGGGACTTCAAAAGATTGTGGGAAATTGCCAACCAGAATTGAAACCTCTTTTAATGCCACTTTTCCATGAACTTTTCGGAGCTTCCCTGTAGGTACTATATTTTGCTTAATCCATTCATCTGTTGCTAGACACTTGGGTTGTTTCTACCTATTGGCCATTGTGATTAATGGTGCAGTTAATGTTAGCGTATAAATATTTGTTTGAGAACCTGGGTTTAAGTCTCTTGCGTGTATAGTTATAAGTGGAATTGCTGGGTCTTACAGTAATTCCATGTTTCACTTTTTGGAGGAATCATCATACTGTTTTCATAGTGGTGCACCATTTTACATTCCCACCAACAAGACATAAGGATTCGCATTTCTCCACATCCACTTCAACACTCATTGTTTTCTGATAATAGGCATCCTAGTGGGTGTATTTTGATTTACATTTCCTTAGTGCAATAATGACATTGGGCATCATTTCATGTGTTTGTTGGCCACTTGTATTTCTTCTTTAGAGAAATGTCTGTTCAAGTCTTTGCCCATTTTGTCTTTTTGTTGCTGGGTAGTAGGAGTTTTGTATCCATCCTGGATATTAAACTCCTTTCAGACATACAGCCCTGAAATACTTCCTCCCATTCCATAGGTAGTCTCTTGAGGCAGGGTTTTTCAATGCTCACGACTCCAGGTGTTCTGGTGTGAGTCACAGCTTTTACTGTGGAGTTAGTGCAGAGTTTCCCGCTCCCGGGCTTGCTCACTTTCAGTGATGCTGTGGTTGGGAATGGAGACACTGAAGACATTTGTCTGGTTGTTTTCAGGGCCTCAGTAAGAAGACAGGAATCTCGTCCAGTCATCTTCAAGCACTGTGGATCGGTTACAGCACTGAGGGGCTGTCTGCTGCCCTTGCCTCTCTCAGGAACCTCTACACTCCCAACGTGAAGGTAAACCCCTACCTCTGCTGCTTCCCTGCACTGAGCAATGTGGGCAGCTGTCCAGGGCATCTTCATGATGCCCGTTACCCAGTCTTGAATCTAAGATTATTATGGGTTCTCTTCCACAAGTGTAAAGTGTAGCTTTTGCTTAGGCAGGAATATGTGGGTAATTGGAAACTATTTTGTGAGCACTTGGTTACTGTTGCAAAGCAGCTATAACAAGGAAGCAATTCACAAAGGAAAACAAAGGTCGGAGAGAGATTTCCAGGGAAAATTGATTGTTAAGTGTCCTGGTTCAATCAGTCATCTGACCATCTCTTTATGGATCACAGAAAACAAAACATTGGCAAGTGACACAAAGAGATGAGCACACAGAGGAGGACACTGAAAAGCTCTTGGGCACATGTTTTATTTACGAGTATGGAAAGAATATTAGCATCTGCCCACCTGGAGCTAAGAGCTGTTGAACCTCCTCTGCACTGGTCTGTGACAATCATGTCACAGCATTCTGCTGAGCTTTTAAGACAGAATGTTCTTCCCACTTAATGCAGTCTAAGCTTCTAGCATAGAAAGTCCGAGGAACTGCTAAGACCACAAAGCTTTGTGTAGTGTCTGGCCTGCTCAGCCTCTGGCACCAGTTTCCAGTATACCAGGTGGTTCTGTCAAATCATTTCTATAAAACTGACCAGCTCAAGAAAGCCATCCGGGGAAGGACTGTGGAAAGCACCTGGTTACTACTTCTTACTTTGTTCATTGAAGGTGAGGGAGCAGGAGAAGGCATGTACCCAGAAATGGAGCTGTGAGGGACACTTGCTCAGGACCTTCTGCTCCTCTCCCCCTACTGTCCACTTGTCTCACCCACACCAGCCGTGTCTGTCTGGGTTTCTGGGTCTTGCAGAGCCCTTCCTGGCTCTGGTCTGATGTGTGAGCTGGCTCCTGTCTTCAACCTCTGACCTCTTGATCTGTTTAGAGGTGTAAAGGAGCAGACAGACGTACTGGGCCTCAGGAAGGACTTATCAGGGCCCCAAGTTCAGAGTTGAGTCACTGTTGTCCAGGGCCTTAATGAGAATTAGAGAAAGATCATGGCCCAGCCGGGTGCAGATGGTCTCTGCAAAGATAACGGTAACTCCTCTCCAGATGTACATGGCCTTTGTCAGGGTGGAAGAAGGCTCCCTGGGCAGAGGGTTCCCTGAGCTGGCTCCTCTGTGGAACTACACACCTGAACCTGTTGGGTTCTGTACTAAATACCCACTGCTTTGCATAATTCCCCCAACTCTCTAGCCTTGTAGGTTTGAGTGCTTCTGTCTCCACAGAAACCAATGTGCAATTTTTAATATATTGTGTGTGTGTGTGTGTGTGTAGACAGAGAGAGAGAGAGAGAAAGAGAGAGAGAGAGAGCGTGGCTGAGTATTATGGTGTTGGTTCCAACTCATAGCGACCCTATATAGGGTTTCCAAGGAGCAGCTGTTGAGTTTGAACTCCCAACCTTGTGGTTCAAACAGACCTTGTGGTCTAGTGCTTTAATATATTTATGGTCAACTTATATGTAGATATTTAACTTAAAATATATATTTTGTTTATATTTAACGTAAATATAAATACTAGAAGTCCAGGTGGTACAGTGCTTAAGAACTTGGCTGCGAAGCAGAAGTTTTGCAGTTCAAACCTCCCAGCCCCGCCACAGAAAAAAGATGTAACCCAGTGCTTCTATCAAGATCCCCATCTGGGAAACTGTTGGTAGTCCACTCTGCCCTGTGGACTGCTGTGAGTAGGAGCTGATTCAATGGCAGTGGGTTTTGGTTTGTGTGTGTGTGTTTTCTAATATGTTTATATTTCAAATATAAAAATAATATATTTGTGTTAGATTTTTGAAGTTTTATATTAAAGTTTCTAAACATTTTGTAAATTTGTACAGACAGGGAACACCAAAAACCATTTCTTTTGTAGTTTAATGAGAACTAGCTCCAAAAGCCTACCACTGACACAGGGAATGCTTACTTTTTTAGGTGAAATTTTTCTAATGGAAAGGTAGTGAAAACCATTTCCTAAGTTTAGATTTTAGTTAATGATGAAGTTGAGAATGTCATTTCACTTAGATTTTAAAGAAATTAGAATTAAGATACTGAAATAACATCGCTCCATCTTTCATTTCAGCCAAAAGTTTATCTTTGGCTTCTCCATACTTAATAAAATTCTGTAATGATGACATGGGAGAAGAAAGTAAGAATAAAATGGCAATATCTGTTTTTACTGCTTGAATGAGTTATGGACACAGAAGTTAATGTGGAGAAAAGTAAATGGAAAACGTCATCCTCTACTGAATAAGGGTTTTTAAGACAGTAAATTAAAAGGTTGCGTGTAATAATGTAATGAGTTTGACCCTCCTGGGATTATAAATTTTCCTCTGTAACGTACTTGAAATCTTTTAGGAGTTATTCATCTTTACTTTGTTTCATTGAAATTTAATGTCACATACATCTACCCCATCCCCAAAATTATATCACTTGGCTATAGAATTTTTCCATTATCCTTCCGTTTCTTTTATGTTTGCGAGAAAAAAAGGTTTTCACAGAACCTTGAACTAATTACACTAATTTAAAATTATGCAGGCAATTAAAGGAGCTTTTTTTTTTTTTTTTTTAAACAGAATATTAAATGTTGTCATACAGGAATGAATGTCATATTGAGCAATAATTGGCAGTTTGCCACTTTGTTATATTAAAGTGATTTTACTTGCTCAGGAATGATTACTTGGTAGATGGCTTTTAATTTCAGTGGCAACCCAGTGAATTCTAACAACTTGGTCTCGCTTTACGATGCCAGCTTATGCCAGCCAGGCCCTGGCTGACACGCTAGGGTCCTGGCCACCAGGGCCTCCAGGGCCTCATCTAGTTAGTTGTTTTGTTCACATCATCTTCCCGGACTGCTGCCAACCACAGGCTACCCGAGGCTCTGTCCCCAGGAGAATTCAGCTTGTGTTGCATCTCTCAGGCTGAAGGCAGGCAGGCAGGCAGGCAGGCAGGCAGGGAGGGGAATGGAAGCTCAACTTGGACTTCAGCCTGCTTTCTTTTGGCTGGGGTTCCAGTCATGTTCCAATAAGGTAATAATTAAGTAATACAAGGGTAAGGAGTCCTAGCGTGCCTCTGTAAGATAAGCACGGGGCTGCTGACCACAAGGTGGGTGGTTCAAACCCTATACAGGGACTGGCTTGACAACATTTAACAACAGCCAGCAAGTCAAAAAGTTTTGCTGCTAGTGTTCCAGTTCATAACATGCACAAGCTTATTCCAAACAAACGCATTTAAGCAAGTCTCAGCCACCGGCGGATGTCTGTAGACAAGTTCCCTCACTTGTTTTGGGGCTCTGGTGCTGTGCTGTAGGATCAACATTGGACTACTATCAAAGGTCAGTGGTTCAAACCCACCAGATTCTCCTTGGAAACCTTATACAGGGTCACCATGAGTTGGAATCAACTGAAAGGTACACGACAACAATTTAGTTAGGGTGCCTTCAAGAAAAACGCCTAATCAAAACAGTGGCTTCCAAGGCCATCTGCTGGGCCAATTAAATTCAAGGCAGAGATGTCAGCTCAGAAGGTCATGGGGTCTGTTGTTAGGGATTCCAAAAAGTTCCCAAAGGGATAATCTTCGTTGATTTTTCTTGAAGGGCACAGGATGATCACAGGGGCTCATTAGGAAGAAGTTTTAAGAAAATTGTAAGCTGCATTGGTAAGAAAAAGGTCAGGAAAGATTTTTCCATCACAACAATGCACCTGCTCATTCCTCAAGGGTGGCAAGAGCTGTCCTGTGAGAATTTCATTGGAAAACCTTACCCCATCCACCCTCCAGCCCTGATCTTGCCTCTCCAGACTTCTTTTTGTTCCCCAAATTTAAAGAATATTTAAAGGAACAGTTTGAGTCCCTCAAGAATGCCCAAACTGCCATTTTGATCTGGTAAAAATCAAAGTGTTTAGAGTTCTTCAGGGACGAGTTCTGACTCATAGCGACCCTGTATAGGGTTTTGTGAGGAGCAGCTGGTGAGTTTTAACTGCCAACCTTGCGGTTCAAACAACCTTGCAGTTCAATGTTTATTCTACTGCACCACACCAAGGACTCCACAGGGAAGGGTTGTGTCGTTGTTAACTGACATCGAATTGGTTTCAACTCATAGTGACCCTAAATAAAGGTTTCCGAGGAGCAGCTGGTAGGTTTGAACTGCCTACCTCGTTGTTTACAGTCCAGTGCTGATCCTATACTAGAAGTCCCAGCGAAGGATTGTTGTTGTTGTTGTTGCTAAGTACCATTGAGTTGGTTCCAAATCATAGCTGCCTGTATACAGTTTCCAAGGAGTAGTTGGTGGGTTTGAACCACCAACCTTGAATCTCAAACTGATCTTGTGGTCCAGTGCATTATCCTCCAGTGCCACATCAGGACTCCAGGGATGGGTTAGGAAGATGGAAATGAAAGCTTCCGAGGTGTAAAACCCTAGATTGAAGATACATCAAAACAATAGCTTCATATTTTTGATTTTTTTGTTTCATAAATCAATGTACTTTTACTTATACTCTCACGTGCTTTATGATGGGTATGCTGTAGTGAGCCTCGGTAAATGTTCTGAGAATTCTGAGTGTCCTCTGTATGTCATGCCAGCCAGGGCCCCTCACGATGGCATTGCCCTTCCACCTCTGTCCCCCACCCCTCTACTTCCTTACCCTCTCTTCTGTTGTTTCCTGGCATTCATTAAGTCCAGCATTTTCAAGTGTACTCAAAGGAAGGCTTCTGTGGTGGTGATGATCAGAAAATTTCTGAGTGGTAGGAATCATGGCTCAATCATGCAGAGTCCCTTCCGGTGACACTGCCGTCTTAACCAGAGCTACTGCTTCTGTCGCAGACTGCTGTGATGGTCATTAGCTTTGTGCCAGGAGCACATCTTTTCCTTACTCCCCTGAGCCTTGGTTGTCTCACCTGTAAAATGGAGATATGAGAAGAACCCACGAGTCACTGGATACTCAGTGAAATGTGGTGTATGCTAAGGTTGTTCGGAAAATACTTGGCATTTATCTTATGGTCTAGACAAGTTACTTTTATTAGTGCTTTGCCTCTTCTCTGGATACTAACTCTGTGCTGAGCACCTGAATGTGCTTGCTGCTGGTTGGGGAGCAGAGCTGCCTACCATGAAGGCTGCAGGTGGCTCCCGCAAGCTTGAGAACCCAGGACTGCTCTGTGCTGGTGACCAGCACCAGGCAGAGCACAGGATGATGTAGAGGGAAACCTGGCCGGTGCCTTCCAGGGCTCCTGTGAAAGAGTGTAGCCATTAACAGTTAATGTGTATTCAGCACTGGCTGGATTCTGGACACTGTGCTAACCGCTTTTGATGTATATGCACTTTTCATTTTAAATCATCACAGCAACCCTTGCCATGGCCACAGTTTTCAGATGAGGAAGCGGAGACTTTAGGCAGTTACAAAGCTTACCTGTGAATCACACAGCTGGAAGTGCACCTGGCCCTGAGCAAGCCCATGCTCTCTACAGCTGCATTTATCACCTGATGTGTTTACAGCGTTGGCTGCCAACTAGAATCACCTTGGGAACTCTGGGTGCCGAGCTTCAGCCCCAGTTAAATCGGCGTATCCAAGGGTGGGGCTTAGCCCTTGGAAGCGTTTCATTTCCCCAGATGATTTCAATTGCAGCACGGGTGAGAGCTATGGGTTACAGGAAGATTCACAAGCTGGTAGGACGTTAAGTAGTAAAAATACCTGCCACATGGCACCAACAAAGGAAAATTTTTCCCCCAGGAAGCAGATGAAGTGTGAATTGATGATAAATGTTTTTAGGAACTTCTGCAGCTAAGTATATGCCTTCTAGCTAAAGGCTTAGAAGGTATTAAGCAAGACAGTATTGAAAGTACATCTGCCCCTGTTGTTACCAAATCACAGAGAGATTGGGTACAGCATGATAGTTAAGAGACTAATTAATTGAAAACAGTCTTTAATCTCCCTTTTTCCCTTTCTGTTAAGCTCATGGACTCCAAGGGGAACTGGAGGCGGGAAGGAAGAGGGTACATGGCCATCAAAGCCTTCCCGGGAATTGACAAGTCTTCCTGCCTGTCCCCTTGTGCCAGGGTCTCATGTGCCCCTCAGTGGATAAACTTAGATCAGTTCCCTAGGTTTTGGTAAAACCTCAGATATTTTATCAGCACAGTGCTATTTTTTTTATAAATATGTTTAAATCGTTAAATTCTGGTAATTGTTATAGGGAACCATTGTCTATCTGTGGAGCAGGCTGGGAAGGATTCAGTCAGACATTAAACATCACAATGTTGGAACAGGGACACACTGTCTGGTCAGTGTGTTCTCTACCTTTCCATCCATACCTGCTGGTTGACAGCAGTAGGCTGGGCTGCTGCTGGGCCCTCTCATGGGTGCAGATGACCTGGGGGGAGAAGTCAGGACCACCTCAGCACTGTGGGGATCTGCCTGTTCTGAAATGTCAGTAACAGTCCTGATGAGAGGTACGGGATTGAACAGTAGAGTCATCCCTGCCCTGGAAAGAGCTCTAGTTCTCTGTGGAGAACAAAGAGAAGACGGGATGTGAGAGGGGATAAGAGTGACTAGGATTTGTGTGTGTGAATGCTTTTGCAGAGCCTGGCAGAGGGAGGAGGTACTTTATGGGCGGGGCGGGGGCACTTCTCTCTGTGATGTGGTCTGGAAGCAGAGGACCATAGGAAGAGGTGCTCTGGGGTTTAGTGTCTGTGGAGAGAACATTCCAGAGCTGAGCCTGCTTGGCATGTTGTGGCACAGGCAGCAGCGCCAGGTGGCTGATGCAAGGTGAGTCCAGGGAAACGGCAGAAGAGACTTTCGGAGAGGAAGCAGGAGAGCTGGGTCACATGGGGTTCAAGTCTCAGATTTCACCTTAATGTCTCATGAGTCCTCATTGTGTAAATCATCCACATGTGTGGCACTGCGGGTTAATGACTCGACTGCAAAGTCAGTTTGAACCTCAAGGTTGGAGGTTCAAGCTCACCAGTCAGTTGCTCCTTAAAAACCCTATACATGATCGCTGTGGGTTGGAACTGACTCAGTGGCACTTAACAACAACAACAATGACTTCTAGGAGTCCTGGTGTGGCACTGTGGGCTAGTGCACTAGACTACAAAGTTGGTTTGAACTACAAGGTCAGTGCTTTAAATTCGCCAGCTGCTCCTTGGAAACAGGGTTGCTATTAGTTGTAACTGTCTCAAAAGCACTTAACAACCACACAACAGTGGCTTCTAAGAAGCCCTGGTGGCGCAGTAGATAAGCACTCAGCTGCTAATTAGTAGTTCAGCCACTCTGTGGGAGAAAGATGTGGCCCTCTGCTTCCATTCAGAAGCCCTGTTCGCGGTTCTGCTGTGTGCTGTGGGATTACAAAGAGTCAGAATTGACTTGAGGGCAGCTGGAACTGATATCAGATTGTAAATATTCTGTCAGCTTCTCTTAGGGACACACATCATTGGAATAGCCTGCATATTATAATATCCCTAGCTTTGCTTCTGTGTCTTTTTATGATCTTTGTGTGGTTCTAGTCAAATAGTGTGTCTTGTGGTTTTCATACCCAATAAGCAGCTCGCAAAAGGAGCTCTGGTAGTGTAGTGGTTACGAATCAGACTGCTAACCTCAAGGTCAGCAATTCAAAACTACCAGGTGTTCCGTGGGAGAACGAGGTGGCTTTCTGCTCCCGTAAAGATTTTCAGCCTAGGAAACCCTGTGCAGGATCACTGTAGTCGGAACCAACTCCATGGTACCTAACAACAACAACAAGAAGCAGCTCGCAACAAGAGGGTTGTGTTGGGAGGTCTGATGGCTGTTCATGACCATTTAAGAAGCAGTTTGAGGAAACACCACATACACCTGTGGTGTGGGAGACATGGTATTTTTGTGGGGTTTTTTTGACGATCTGGAGATTTGAAGATGGTGTTGGCCTAGCTAAAATTTGTATGAGGTGCCCAGTGCCTTTATTTTAAATCTGTAGATACAAAACTACTTTCCTTGATTGCTGGGACCAGAGCATTTTGTGGGTAATTAATAGTTGTTGTTGTTATTAAGTGCCTTCTAGTGGTTCTGACTCATAGTGACCCTGTATAGGATTTCCAAGGAGAGTAGATTATTTTCTGGCAGGATTGTGCTGTTGACAATCCAGGGGGCACATGGAGGTTTTCATGCTCTGCGTTCTGTTAGGAAGACTTCTTTGTAAAGAAAAGAGTATTGTTTGTATCTTGAAAGGCAAGGCTACTACCACTGAAATCACAGTGACCTCTTTGTTAAACTAAACCGTGATTTTCAAAGCAGCAGTCAGCATCGCCTGGGGGATTGTTAAAAATGTCCATTTTCTGATGCCACTGAATCAGAAACTCAGAGGGTGGGGCCCAACAACCATAGGTCTTAACCAGCCCTCTTCATGATTCTGACACACTGGATTCAGTTGACGGTATGGACAATGGAAAGACACTGTCCCTTGCCCAGAAATGTTGTGGAGACTGACATTTACCTGAGAAATTAATCTGGCTGGGGGCTGTTGTCCCACAGGTGAGCCGGCTCCTGATCTTGGGAGGAGCCAATGTGAACTACAGAACGGAAGTGCTAAACAACGCCCCGATCCTCTGTGTCCAGTCTCACCTTGGACACGAGGAAGTTGTCACTCTGCTCCTGGAATTTGGTGCCTTCCTGGACGGAATGTCGGAGAATGGTATGACGGCTCTCTGCTATGCGGCAGCTGCCGGCCACATGAAGCTGGTGTATCTACTGGCCACAAAGGGGGCAAGGGTAAGCAGCAGCCTTCTCTGCTTGGGCAGGGTGGGGCATGGGCTGGGAGGAATGCTTTCAGATCATTGCTAGACTTCTTGTCATTTCTTAACGCTGTGGGCTTCAAAAAGTGTGTGGGAAAATTCCATTATATTTTAATTCCATTTTCCACACACTATTTCAAGCCCCCTCATGTATATATGTATTGTAATATTGGTGGTTGTGTGCCATGCAGTCAGTTCCTACTCATAGTGACCCTGTATAGGGTTTCGGAGGATGTAAACATATATGTATGTGTGTGTGTGTATATATATATATAAACATACGTATATACATATATCATTGTTTGTTGTTAAATGCCATTGAGTTGGTTCTGACCCGTAGCTATGCTGAATTGAGTTTCCGAGGCTATAAATCTTTACGGGACTTAACGTAGAGCAGCTGATAGTTTTGAATGGCTGACCTTGCGGTTCACAGCCCAATTCGTAACCACTACGCTACCAGAGCTCCTGAATATACATACATATATACACATATATATAAATATACGGATTGGTGCCATGGGATCACGTGCTGGACTGCAAAGAAGGATTGAACCTCAGAGTCGTCTGTTCAAGCTCACTAGCCGCTCCTCAGAAACTGTAAACAGGGTCGCTATGGGTCGGAACTGACTTAACAGCACTTAACGATAACAACAACTTATATACACTGGTGTGGCACTGGACTACTAATCTCAGAGTTGGTAGTTCAAACCCACGAGCCGCGCATTGAAACTGCTATGTGGTTCTGACTCAACATCACTTAATATGTTGTTATTATTGTTAGGTGCCCTCAGGTTGGTACCAATTTATAGTAACATTATGTACAGCAAAACAAAACACTGCCTGATCTGGTGCCAACCTCACAATTACTACTACGCTTGAACCCATTGCTGCTTCACTGTGCCAATCCATCTTGTTGGGGGTCTTAGCGTTTTTCTTTGACCCTCCACTTTAACAAATATGATATCCTTATCTAGGGGCTCGTCCCTCCTGGTAATATGTCTGAAGCATGAAGATGACGTCTTGCCACTCTGGCTTCTAAGGAGTATTCTGGCTGTACTTTTTCCAACACAGATTGGTTTGTTCTTTTGGCAGTCCGTGGTACATTGAATATTCTCCTCGAGCACCATGATTCAAATGCGTCAATTCTTCTATGATCTTTTCTTTATTCATAAGCACACACACATAAACACACGTATGTATACTGTCTCAATATTCTTCACTTGTACATTTTTAATCATCACGTTGTATTCTCATTATATATCTCCAGATTTTCCCATCACCCTTAACCAAAATGCAGTGTCTCCTAAACTCTTTCTTATAATTGTTTTCTTCCTGGTCCACTGTGTCAAACTGAGGTGAGCATAAACACACAAAGGACAGAGCTGTAGGTGATGTTACTTCCAGTGGTTGCTCCAACGCTTGCAGCCTTGAGAGGTTGGGCAGTTTCTTTGTTCTTCAGCTGTTATTAACTGCAATGGGGTGGGGTGGGTTTTGGGCAGAATACCAGGGAGACTCCTGGGGCTGGGGGTGGGGGTCAGATGTGTGAGGAACTTAGCATGCCAGTTGGTGGTAAAGGTTTACAGTTTTTTTCCTCCCTGACCTTTTTTATCCTGTTTTAGTTGATGTCCTTTTTTAAAATTTCTGAAAAACTTTTCTTACCGTGGTAAAACTGTAGATAGACAGACGGACAGACAGACAGACATAGATACGTTGTTGTTGTTGTTGTTATGTGCCGTTGAGTCGGTTCCAACCCATAGCGACCCTATATAGAGTTTGTGAGGAGCAGCTGCTGAGCTGAACCGCTGACCTTGCGGTTCAAACAGCTTTGCAGTCTGGTGCATTAACCCAAAGAGCCACACCAGGACTCCTTATGTTATATTTACATATCTGTATCTGGAGCCCTGGTATGGCTCTCTGGGTTAATGCGCCAGACTGCAAAGCCGTTTGAACCGCAAGGTCAGCGGTTCAAGCTCACCAGCTGCTCCTCGGAAACCCTATACAGGGTCGCTATGAGTCGGAACCGACTCGACGGCATGTAACAACAACAATAATACATAAAATTTTCTGTTTTAACTTTTTTAAAACAAATTCTTACCTGCCTTGAGTGATGTTTACAGTGTTGCGCGACATCACCACCAGCTTTCTCATCACCTCAAACAGCAGCTCCATGCTCACTAAGAATAACTGTCCCCTTTTCCCTTCCACCCAGTTCATGTCCTTTAGTATATATAATGCATATTTGTTGTTGTTAAATGCCATCAAGTCCATTCTGACCCATAGCGACCCTGTGTAGGGTTTCCGAGGAGCAGCTGGTGAGTTTGAACAGCCCACCTTGCGGTCCAGAGCTTTATATCCTGTAGTACCACAGTATGTGAATATGTAAACATACACAGCAAAACATGCACCAGTTCAGGTTTCTACATGTACATTCAGTGACGCTGATGACATTCTTCAATTTTGTAACTTCTCACCCTCCTTTTCTGACCTCTTCCTCCCCCATGTACATACATTCACTGTCCACTAAGGTTTGTACCCAGTGTTTTGAGCTGCCTTATCTAATAGATAACTGGCAGTCACGCGGTTGTGAGTGAGATTTCTTTCCTAACTGTGTTTTTAAGGATTTGTAGGTCACAGACCGGGTGGTCAAAGTGAGGGAAAGTGTATGCAACGTTAGCGGCAAGTAGGTGTTGTCTGTAATTTGAGTTTCACAACCTGCACAGGCCTATAGTTCTTTAAAGAGCATACTACTCAAGGTAGGCATTCTTTACTAGTTAAGCTAAACTGCTGTTGGGTTTTAGGAAGAATGCAAAGAATATTTTGATTTAAGGTTTAAAAATTATCTTTGGCCAATAGTTTCATCTAGCCTCACGGCTTCAGAAAGCTATGTTTCCAAGTTGGTGTCCTTTGTAGAACACTAAAGTGAATCCATTGTTCCTTAGAAGTACTGTCCATGAGCTTAATGACACAGAAGCTGGACTGCCTGGATTGGAATCTTTGTTTCTCCACTTAAACTCCACAACTAGGATGTTGGTCAAGTTGGTGAACTTGTGTGTCTCGGATTTCTCATCTGTAAAATGGGCTTAATGACAATGTCTACCTTAGGGCTGTGGTCAAAATCTTAACAAAACTCAGTATATTAACATTAACACATAAATAACACCTGTTGTTGTTAATGCCATCAAGTCTGTTCCGACCCATAGCAACCCCTGTATAGTGAGGGATTCTCAGGAGTCGCTGGTGGATTTGAGTAAATATATATTTTTAAATAAGAGTCTCTAGGGCTATCTGTCTTAAAATAGACTAACCAAGGACAGTACCAAGCTCACAGTAAGCGCTATGTGTTTTTAGAAATACTATCTAGTACAATCCTTTAAAAAATAAGGTATCAAATGAAAATCTTGTCATTGTGTGTTTTTTTTTATTCTTTAAGTTTGCTGTATGCTTTTAAAGAAGCCCCAATGGCTCAAGGACAAGGGGAAATCTGCCTTTAAGCCTTCCTAGTGTTCACATTGCATATGTGAACACCATGCCGTACAGTCCTGTAGCTTTGTTTGAGGCTAAGCCCCCTCCCTTTCACTGCTGAGAGCTCTGTAGGAGGTGGGGAGGCATGTCAAGGGGTGGCCCTTATATAACCTCTGGGTGGGAGTGGAGTACAAAGCGTCCCCAGAATTTCTAAGTGTGGCAAATCTGGGCCTTCATTTCCTCCTCGTAGGTGTAGACAGGGAACAGAGGTTTGTCTGGCACTTGTTTGGAAATTTGGAAGTACATAGTTCCATGTAGATACTCCTCCTCTGTTGGTGATTGGCCTTCTCTGGTTTTGTGAGCCTGCTTTCTGTGCTTTCTTTCTTTTGCCTGTCTGCATGTGACCTCCCATCAGATACTTCCCGATGCAAGCCTATGTGTTCCAGGCCCCTCCCTTCCTCTTGCTCCCCTAGTTCCATGGCAAAAGAACTACATTATTTTCCTAAATCATAGCTTGTCACAGTAGATTCTGATTGTTCTGCTTGAACAACCCAAGTTGAGACACATGGGGCTTTATCTGTGGTTTTTGGTCTGTGTTTACTAGAGAACTTGGGAGCTCCTGGGTTTGCTGGAGGGGACATATGGAATGTGAATGGTTTTCGTGTGCTTGCTAGTTCTACAAAAGGAACTTGAGACCTGTAACTGTACATTATTACAGAGAAGGAGTTCTTGAAGAAGAGACAGAGCTACAGAATGACGAGTTTGAGTGTTTGTGGTAGGATGGGATTTGCATTCAAAGTTTGTGGTCCAGCCTCTGTATTCGTAGAGGAGAGTTGATGCTAAACTGACCAACTGGCCTCCCCCTGTTCTTGCCCCCAGGTGGACCACTTGGATAAGAAAGGCCAGTGTGCACTAGTGCACAGTGCACTGAGGGGCCATGGCGACATTCTCCAGTACCTACTGTCCTGCCAGTGGTCAGAGGCTCCCCAACAGCCAGGCACACTGAGGAAGAGCCAAGCCCTGCAGCAGGCGCTGACGGCGGCCTCCAGCATGGGCCACAGCTCGGTGAGTGGGTGCGGTCAGGGTCCCTTAGGAAACTCGAGGCTGTGTTTGCCAATTATCTTTTTCTGAGTTGTGAGCCTGTGAAGTACAGAAGGAATGAAAGTGAGGATTTCAAGACATAGCAATTGGTTTGACCACACACAATGGCCTTCTACTGAAGACAAGTAAGTAGACTTTCCATAGTCTCCTTTTTCTACTCTTCCTTGCTTTTGTTTCTTCCTCCCCTATCCTACTTTTACCCTCTAACCCTGCTGCGTTACATTTTTTTACCCTTTGATTCATTCTTTTGTCTTGGCGATCTTTTAAAAATAATCACATGGAATCCTAGTCCTAAAATTGTTCTTAAGTGTGTGAAGGATTTGTTAAAAATAGAACTTTAATGCTTTGATAGCATGTAAAAATGCTTGTCATTTGCAGTTCCTAGACGGAAGGAGAACTTCATGCAGTATTTAAATAGAGCATTTATTTCTGGTAGATGTCAGTATGCTTCAACTTGAAGATTTAATTGTCAACTCCTGACCTGCGTGGCTTAGCTTTATCTCTGAAGTAAATAACATTTTACCCACTTTATTCCATGCATTTTTCACTCTGTGCTATCCTCAAGTAATAAGAGATGTCAGTGTTTGATAAGATTCGTTCCCAATAATGAATTAAAGCAAACTTGGTTGCAAAACTGGTTGGCTGATTTTTGGCCAAGGAACAGCAAGGTCAGGCACATCCCCCCAATTCCCTCCAACTCACACACAGCTTGCTAGCTAATTTTTGGCGTTTAAACCATTAAAAACACGTGCAAATATACTCCTGGAGTGTGTTGTTACTGGACATCTCTGAAAGTGTACGTGTTTCTTTTTAAACTGTCATCTAGCTTTGAGAGGGTTCATACTGTAGAAGATTGTCATCAGCAAGGACAGCGGAAACCACTTCTGTTCACCCCTGTCTGCAGGCTGGCTGGGCGGAAGACTGAGCAAAGAGCCACGAATCACTGGTCATGAAAGACTTGAAGGGCTTCCTGTTGCTGCTGTAACAAATTCCTGCAAACTTAGAGTTTAAAATACCAAAAACATTCTCTTGACAGTTTTGGAGGTCAAAATTGAGGTGTCAACAAGCTAGCATTCCTGGAGACTCCTGGGGAGATTCCATTTCTTTGAGTTTTCCAGCTTTGAGATGCCACCTGCTTCCCTTGGTTCATGACCCTTCTTCATTTCCCATTTCTTCATTTCTTCATTTCACTTCAGTGTTTGCGTCCATCAGCCCATCTCCTCCTTCCTCTAACCTTGACTCCTCCCAGGTCCTTTTTGTAAGGATTATTGTGATCACATCAAGCTCACCTGGATAATCCAAAATAATCTCCCCGCCGTAAAAATCCTTAAAGTAATCCGGTCTGCACATTGTTAGCAGTTTCTGGGGTTTGTTGTTGTTATGTGCTGTGGAGTCGGTTCCGACTCATAGCAACCCTGTACAGGATTTCCGAGACTGTAAATCTTTACGGGAGCAGAAAGCTTCCTCCTTTTCCCACAGAACAGCTGGTAGTTTCAAACTGCTGACCTTGCGGCGGTTCACAGCCTGATTCGTAACCACTATGCTATAGTTAGATATATCGGTGGTCCATCATTCATACTACTAAAGGGAGGGAATGGATATGAGTTTCAAGGATGAGTCAAAGTTGGCTTCACTCCAGGGGAATGTCGGGTTTTGATTCAGGGCCCGGCTCAGATGCTTCCATTGCCCTTAAGAGGTATTGCTCTTGCCTCCACACTTGATGAGGAAGATATAAGGAAGAGAATAGTGATATCTGTTCATTTTTTTTATTTTGACAAGACTTTCTTTTATCTTGTGGGAAAGAAAATTCTTCACCTTGTTTTTCTCCCTTGTGAGAAATGGATGCACCATCTTCTGTTGATTTATGCAGAAGCTGCACTTTGTATGATCCACTGTGTCCTTTGTTGATGAGGCTGGCATATTTGGGTCATGTTGGAATTCATTAGAATTCTGAGTACCTGGTAATCCTGTACAGTGTTGCTGAAATTCACTGAGATTATGATTTTATATATACATATATAAAAATCCTTCTCAGAGTGAACATGTGAATAGCATATGAATTATGCTTGAAAATGGTTTTCATTATATTTTCTCTCCTTATGCAGCATGAGATAATAATGGTTAAAAAAAACACACACCTTCCCCTTTGATAACATGGGATATAATAAGCTCATATTGCCATGAGAACTCATTAAATTACCTTGCCACTTCTGACAGGTGGTCCAGTGCTTGCTGGAAATGGAAGAGGAACATGAAATAGAAGTCAACAGCACTGACACATTGTGGGGAGAAACAGGTAATTACGGTCCCACTGCTTGTAATCTAGGGCAGTTTTCTTGATGTTTTAACCCTTGTTTTGCCCTAATTATTTTAAGGAGGACTTGTGATGTATGTAGTCTTATTTTTATTTTATCCCAAGACATTTGAAGTTTAGATTTTTTTAAACTTTCCAAATGAGTAGCAAAACTTTGCCAAGAGCACAGGAAATTTGAATCACTGTGGAATACAGTAGCAGTTACTGTGTATCTAATGAATCCAGATGGAAATGCCTAAATAAAGTGGCACTTTGTGGTTTGCAAAGTCCTCACAGAGCCTAAGCAACTTACTGTTCTTCCTGTGAGCCTTGGAAAGGGAGCAGGGCAGTATGTCTTCCCACCCCCCACCTCCCCACCCCATTTTCAGGTAAATAAAAAGTGACTGAGTCAAGAAGGCAGTAGTCTGCCTGGTAGGGCTCAAATCAAACCAAAGCTACAACTGTGTAGTCTATTCCTATAGAAACTTTGGAACTGATCCAGAGGGTTTCCAAGACTGTGTAGCTTTTTGGAAGCAGACAGTCTCATCTTTCTCCAGTAGAGCTGGTGTGTTTAAACGACTGCCCGACCTTTCAGTTAGCGGCTCAAACCTTAAGCCTGTGATCCACTAAGCTCCTGAAAATAGTGAAGACAGATACAGAGATTTCAGATTCAAAGTGCATTCCCATTGTTAGGGTAGAGGGGATGTTTAAAAGGTGGGAGGAACCCTAAGGGGAGTTAATTTTCAATAAAGATTTGAGTTCATTACTTGTCAGGTTAACATAGATACTATTAATTTCTATTTGACAATTGATATTAAAATACAAGAATGTAAATTATCATTAGTTAGTTAAGCTATTGTTTTCAAATGGATGTACCCAAGAGTATTTAAATATGCATTTCCAGCCTATGTTCTATGTATGTATGGCATAAGCAATTTCCATTTGTCTTTTGCCAATTTCACTTGCAAATTATTTCCCAACAAGCCAAATGGTGGTGTATTGTGTTTGTTAGCTAATTAACCTTCACTTAGGAGCAGCATCTGAGGCTTTCTGGACCAGGCCTTCTGAAGCTACGGCTGTGTGTGTGGCTCTCCATCATTCATTGACATATGAGGGGGCCTCAGTACAAAGAAGTACAGGATCCCAAATGGAGCGAGATTGTGCTTGGGCTGCAAGTTGCTGCTTTAAATAGTTCCCTTAATTCATCATAGAGCCCCTCCCCTCCCCTCTTGAGTAGTACAGGCTGCTCTGTAATCTGGAGAAGAAAAGTTTCCACCAGATTCCACAGTGGGCTATGGTCAGACGTATGTAGCTAAGTAGATAAGAACATGCCTTTGCTGACAATGAGAAGGTTCCAACCTTGCTCTCTCATTACCTATTGTAGGGTCCTTCCATGAGTTACATGAAGCCCATTTTCTGCCTCTGTGAACTGAGTTAATAGCACCTGTTTGTGAAGGCTAAATGAGAAAAAGCAGTTGGGTCCTTAGTACCCGCCAATAAGAGTGATCCGGGACAAATATGAGGTCTTGTACAAACCCGAGGCTCTATTTTTCTTCAAAGATTTAAAAAACAAAACAAAACTCTTTATTATGAATTGAGTGAAGGTTTACAGAGCCGACCATCAGTTTTATATTCAATAGATTATGTACTTCATTTCATCTCGTGATTGTAGACCCCTCAGTGTGACATCACTTAGATCCCATTTGCTGTGTCCTCGTGTACATTCTTCTTATTTTCCACCCTTTGTGAACTTTGTCTTTGAGCAAATGCTGCTGTTTTGATCTACAGTGGTTGACCATTTTATGGTGTGTGTACCTCACTAGTGTTGTTGTTCTCCCCTATATACATACCTATCTATTGCTTGGCTGAATATTGGGCTCCAGAGGCCAGTTTAGTTACAGACCTGGAGGGTGACCAAGGGTCAATAATGTCAGGGCTCTACCAACCTCTGTGTGACCAGTAAGTCTTTTGTGATTTTGAGTTTTGTTCCACATTTTCTCTGAGTCTGTCTAGGACCTTCTAATGAGATCTCTTTCAGAGCAGTTGGTAATGATAGCCTAGCACCATATAGTTCTTCTGGTATCAGGGTCATAGAAACTGATGTTTATGTGGTCCACTAGTCCACTGGACTGTTTCTAAATAGCTTCAATTTTCGTCACTCTTATTCCTCTGGACTTGGAGAGAGCAATAGCTGCACCTTTGATGGCCACTTTGTAAATCCCAGTTGCAACTCACCGAAGTAGTATGTAGAAAAATGCTTTTGTGAACTATGATATGTCAGCTGATGGTGGTGTCCCCCGAGACTATGGCCCTGAGCAAGTAACTCAGTCCCTCATGCTGTTTGGTAATGTCTGAGACGTTTTCAGAACTTTACTGAGACTCTATATTTCTGTTGTGCATCCTAGATCATTTCTGGTGATTGCTGGCTACAGGTAAAATAGAGAACCTTTGCAGAGAAACGTCTATATAAAGTGTTTTTGAGCACTCAGGTGTCTAAAGTTTGTTGAGTACTCCGCTGATGTGAATGATGCGTCTGTTGGCCATTCTTGACATGTTCAGTGAGAATCCTTAACCTTTGAAAGTCCCAGGGTGATACAAATGTTTGACTCACTTGGCTGCTAACCAAAGTGTTGGAGGTTTGAGTCTACCAAGAGGTGTGTTGGAAGAAAAGCCTGGAGACGTATTTTATAAAAATCAGTCATTGCAAACGCTCTGGAGAACTATTTTACCCTGACACACATAGGGCCATGATGAGTATGTCAACTGGAGGGCAACTGATTTCGCGTAATATAGTCCAGGTCATTTTGTTTTCTGGGAGAAAGAAATCCAGGGCAGAGCTGCCCTTGAGGATTGAGTGTGAGCTCTCTTTTGTCTCAGGTTAACTAATCCTGAACTTCAGCATTCTTTCTCCTTGAGCCAGCTGCCCAGCGGACCTGTGAGCTAAACTACAGAGTTCCTATTAACTACTACCACCTGCTACCATTCAGTTGACTCGGGGTCATGAAAACCCTATAAGGTGGAGTAAAACTTCCCTGTAGGGTTTCCAAGGCTGTAATCTTTAGCTAGAAGTTGGCACCAACTCCACAGCACTTAACAACAGCAATATTTCCAGAAGCAGACTGCCTCATCTTTCTCTCACAGACCGAGCTGGTGGGCTAGCAGCTGAGTGCCTGGACTCCCATGAGTCTTCATTAACAGATAAGCAGTAGTTCAGCTGGACCCTTCTAGAGACTCATGAGTAACCTTCAGACCACTTCAGCCCCTGAAAAACCAGTCCTCAGAAGGCATGCTGGTGGATTACCTCAGCCAGGAGTTCTTAGGATTTTGTTTTTAAACCAAGAAAAGGCCAGTTAGTTCCTAACTCTGCTCTAGAGAGCGAGGGCGGCTCTTTCTGACTGCCACTAAAACCAATCTTGTTACCTATGGACATTTTTGGATCTAGTACCTTTTTCGCCTGTGTTCTTCAAAACTGACCACCACTATCTACAACCCTACACCTGCCTCCTTTCCAGCTCTTGGTCATCAAAGGATACCTCAAAATCTTAGGGGAAGTTTTTAAAACTGAGAGAAAATCTGGAAGTCTGGGGGTTTCCACAAATGCAAACTGCCTTGTCCACACTGTGAGTTCTGCGTTTGGAATTCAGCCATGCACGGTCAGAGTCCACAGGTGGTCCTGGCCAGTGAACCTGACCCGGATGTGGGCGTGTTAGTCCACAGGGCAGACAAGCAGCCTGCTGAGCTGCTAGGGTTATGATCGAAGGAGTTATTCTCACGAAGCCTCATCTTACTCTCAGGCAGCACAGCCGAGTTCCCCAGCCTGTGTAGGCTGCTGGATGGACATCACTGTTTTTCATTGTTTTCCAGAAGTTGTTTTGCCTCCCGGTTTTCTTTGGTCCTCATTCCTGGGTGTGGACAATGGTGCTTTGTGTACAAAGCACTCCAGAGTGGGCCTTGCCTCTCTTCTTCTGCCTGGGGTGTGGGAAGATGCCAGAACAACTGGGAGCTTTGTGTGGATTATGCAGTGCCTTATTTCTCTCTCAACTGTGGTGTAACTGTTTTGTATTGATTGAGCTTCAAACCACCTGGCCTTAAAGTATCAGCTGATGAGCTTACACCAAGTCAGGGTCTCTTTGTGGCTAACCTCAGAGCAGAAGCCAGTGTTCTCTTTGGAGCACAGCTACCTGCCTGTCTCTTTTCTCCCTCACAGTGTTGGACCCCAAGAGGGCTACTAAATGTATGATGAGTGTCTGCTTTGTACAGTTCCAAAATGTACAGATTTCCTGTATGTTGCTGGTTGGAAGAAGGGAGTTGTAAGTGCACGGTGGATACCAGTACTGCCTTCGAGACTGACGTGGTCAGCCACTGTCATCCTGAGGGTTTCAGGCAGCCCAGCAGATGCTGTGTTTGCTCTGTGTCAGGCATTCCACAGTCGTGACAGTAAGTAAGTTCTGGCTCCGAGTCCCAGCTTAAACGAAGTTACTGTTTTCATGTCAGTGTTTGATGTGAATCAGCCCAAACTTAAGTGGTCAGAGATGCTTCACTTAGTGAGTTCATGTTATTGTGAATTATTAGAGGAACTATGTTTCCAAACTGCAGGCAGCTCTCAAGTCTTCGAGCCTGTTCTCTGTGCTTCTAGTTAGAATTGCCCACTTCAAAGGGGACTAGAGGCCTGTCTGTTTCAGCACTTGCCTGCCTGGTCAGCAAAACCTCCCCACCTCTTGACTCCCTTTAGGTCAGTTTGCAATTTCATGTATAGCACTTTGTTGTTGGGGACCTTTGAGTCAGTTTGACCCTGTGGCGTTTTCTAGATTATAATAGGTATGGAAGCAGACCGCCAGGGCTTGTACCTGCAGAACGGCTCGGTGGGTTTGAACTGCCAGTCTTTTGGTTAGCAGCCAAGTGCGTAACCATTGTACCCCCAGGATACCTTTCATAGCACTGACCAGTTATATTGTTGTTACTTGTTTGGTTATTGGTGGTGTTAGGTGCCATTGAGGTGGTAC